GACGGGACAAAACCGTGGAAAATAGCTTGGGGAAACTTCGCTGGGAGGGAGCGAGACCGGATGCTGGACGGGACAAAACCGTGGAAATAGTTCGGGAAACTGCGCGGGGAGGGAGCGAGACAGCATGCTGGACGAGACAAAACCGTGGAAAATAGCTTGGGGAAACTGCGCTGGATGGGAGCGAGACAGCATGCTGGACGGAAAGCTGTGCTGGGAGGAAGCGCGACAGCATGCTGGACGGGACAAAACCGTGGAAATAGCTTGGGGAAACTTCGGTGGGAGGGAGCGAGACAGCATGCTGGACGGAGAAGAAACCGTGCAAATAGCTTGCGGAAAGTTGCGCTTGAAGGGAGCGAGACAGCATGCTGGACGGGATGATGCCGTGGAAATAGCTTGAGGAAACTTCGCTGGGAGGGAGCAAGACAGCATGCTGCACGGAGACGAAAACTGTGGAAATAGCTTGCGGAGAGCTTTGCTGGGAGGAAGCGCGAGAGGATGAGACAGCATGCTGGACGGAGAGGAAACCGTGCAAATATCTTGCGGGGAGCTTCGCTGGAAGGGAACGAGACAACTGGACGGATGGGAAACCGTGGAAATAGTTTCGGAGAGCTTCGCTGGGAGGAAGCGAGATAGCATGCTGGACGGAGAGGAAACCGTCCAAATAGCTTGCGGAGAGCTTCGCTGGGAGGGAGCGAGACAGCATGCTGGACGGAGAGGAAACCGTGAAAATAGCTTGCGGAGAGCTCCCCTGGGAGGGAGCGAGACAGCATGCTGGACGGAGAGAAAACCGTGGAAATAGCTTGGGGAAAGTCCGCTGGGAGGGGGCGAGACAGCATGTTGGACGGAGAAGAAACCGTGCAAATAGGTTGCGGAGAGCTTCACTGGGAGGGAGGGAGACAGCATGCTGCACGGAGGAAAGTGTGAAAATAGCTTGCGGAGAGTTTCGCTGGGAGGGAGCGAGATAACATGCTGGACGGATAGGAAACCGTGGAAATAGCTTGCTGAGCTGGGAGGGAGCGAGACAGCTTGCGGAAAGCTTCGCTGGGAGGGAGCGAGACAGCATTCTGGACGGAGAGAAAACCGTGCAAATAGTTTGCGGAAAGCTTTGCTGGGAGGGAGCGAGACAGCATCCTGGACGGAGAGGAAACCGTGGAAATAGGTTAAGGAGAGCTTCGCTGGGAGGGAGCGAGACAGCATGCTGGACGGAGAGGAAACCGTGCAAATAGGTTGCGGAGAGCTTCGCGGGGAGGCAGCGAGATAGCATGCTGGACGGAGAGGAAACCGTGCAAATAGCTTGCGGAGAGCTTCGCTGGGCGGGAGCGAGACAGCGTGCTGGACGGAGAGGAAACCGTGCAAATAGGTTGCGGAGAGCGTCGCTGGGAGGGAGGGAGACAGCATGCTGGATGGACAGGAAACCGTGGAAATAGCTAGCGGAGAGCTTCGCTGGAAGGGAGCGAGACAGCGTGCTGGACGGAGAGGAAACCGTGGAAATAGCTTGCGGAGAGCCTTGCTGGGAGGGAGCGAGACAGCATGCTGGACGGGACAAAACCGTGGAAATAGCTTGCGGAGAGCTTCGCTGGAGGGAGCGAGACAACATGCTGGACGGATAGGAAACCTTGAAAATAGTTTGCGGCAGAGCTGTTGGCACGGGTTTTTTCAGGACAAATGCCATCATTGCGATTGGCCTGAAAAAATTGTGGACCCAAGACTGGTCAAATGGTCCCAAGACCGGTCAAACGGTTTGCAAAGGCTGAAAAATGGGACATGCACAGAGAAGCTTTTACACAAAAAAAGCCTTTACACAGAAACTTTGACACACAGACGCGTTTACAGAGACACAGAGGAGTCTTGACACAGAAGCCTTTACGCACAGAAGCTTTTTTGCACAGAGTAGCTTTTACACACAGAAGTCTTTACACAGAGAAGTCTTGAGACAGAGAAGCCTGTACACACAAAGGCTTTTACAGAGAGAAGCCTTTCGCACAAAGAAGTCTTGACACAGAGGAGCTTTTACGAGAGAAGAGATTTACACGCAGAAGGTGTTACAGATAGACGTTCTTTCGGCGCACAGAAACTTTAACACAGAGCAGCTTGTACACACAGAAGCTTTTACACAAAAAAGCCTTTACACAGAGAAGTTTTTCACACAGGAGCTTTTGCACAAGAAAACTTTTACACAGGAAAGCTTTTACACACAGAAACTTTCACACACAGAAGCTTTGTACACAGAGAAGTCTTTGCACAGAGGAGCTTTTGCACACAGAATCTTGTACACACAGACGCTTTCACACACACACAGGAGGTTTTACAAACAGACAACTTTACGGCGCACAGATTTTTTACACAGAGCAGCTTTTACGCAGCGAAGCTTGTACACACAGGGGGCTTTTTTACACAGAAGCTTTTACATAAGGTTTTTTTAATACACAGAAGCTTTTACACACAGAAACCTTTACACACAGAAGCTTTTACACACAGAAACTTTTACACACAGAAGGTTTTACACACAGAAGCTTTTAACACAAAAAAACCTTTAAACAAAGGAGCTTTTACACACAGACGGGTTTACACAGAGAAGTCTTTACACACGGAGGCGTTTACACAGGAAAGAGTTTACACGGAAGCGTTTACACAGAGTAGTTTTTACACAGAGAAATCTTTACACAAAGAAGTCTTGACACAGAGAAGCTTGCACACACAGAGGCTTTTACACACAGAAGCCTTTTACACAGAGCGGCTTTTTCACAGAGGAGCTTTTACACAGAGGAACTTTTACACAGAGAAGCTTGTACACTCAGAGGCTTTGACACAGAGAAGTCTTTTACACAGAGAAGCTTTTGCACACAGAAGCTTTACACAAACAAAACCTTAACACAGAGGAGCTTTTACAGACAGAAGCTGGTACGCAAAGAAACTTTCGCAAACAGAAACTTTTACACACAGAGCGCGTTTTACACAGAAGATTTTACACACAAGAGCTTTTACACCAAAAACCTTTACACAGAGAAGTTCTTGCCCACAGAAGCTTTTACTTGCAGAAGCTTTTATGCAAAGAAGCTTTTGTACAGAGAAGTCTTTACCCATCTTTTATCATGTCTCATTTTTCATGATCATTTGCCATCTGTCACCTTCATATATATCTTCGTTTTCATGCTCTTTTGGTCAGCTCCCTCTGTCGTTTAATTTTCATTTCGTTCTGTCCGTCCACGCTTCGTGCTCGCTCCCTCTGCGGCGAAGCAAACTAAACGAGAACGCAGAAATAGATAGCGACTAGACAGATGGGATAGAGTTAATTACATTAACAGAAATAGCGACTAGAAGACTGTAGGCGTAGCTGACACAGCATGCTGTGGTGAATCGTGGCCCCTGATACCATCAGTGCGCACGATGTTTAAGTAAAGATCTTACGTCGATTTCGTGCAGAGCACAGCTGGCCACACCCCAAGATTTTCAAGAAAAGGCGTGCTGTGTGCCGTCTTGCTTTTGGGTTCTCTGGCCCACCTTGTTTCGTATTCTTTGATTTTTCAAATGTACATTTTGTGTTGCTTTTGTTTGCATAAAAACATGCATTTTTAGACTTACAGTTTACATTTTTTCAGTCAAAATGAAAAGTTGCATTTCAGATTTGCATTTTTTAAAAATACTTGTTTTCAATTCACATCAAAAGTTTATTTTTCAGGTGTTTTTCTTTTTTTCATATTTTCAATTATTTATAGGTTTATACTCTAGCAGATTTAGGGCATTTCAGCAGCAGCGATGTTTGAACCTCCTTTAAGTTGCATGAAAGTATGCTATCTGGCACAGGAAGACAAGCAAATTCAAATTAAAGCAAATATGTAGTCATACGTAACATGCAACCATATGCAATCATATGTAATCATGCGTAATCAAATCACAATCAACTCGTAATCATATTCAATCAGATTTCACTTAATCGCTTCCCCCTATTACTAAACGTCCCCTAAAGAACAAAAACCAGCGTCCGTCTCCAATTTTTGAAAATTTGAGGTTGGCTAATTTGAGCTTTAATTGATCCCCTTTCGAAAACAATTTAAAAATAAAGCTACTATTTGTGGGTTTCACCCCCTAAAAATAAAAACTAGTTAGCCCCCGGGTCTTTTTTATTAGGGTCCGTCCGAAAAAAATAGATTTTTATATTAGGGTTTTTAATTTAGTATTGGGATGTATTGGGGGGAAGCTTCAAAATCTATTTTTTGGCAATATTTTAATTGGGTTATAAAAGGAAATTTAATTAACTAATTTTGAAATCAAAAATCAAATATAAAGGGTTTATATTTATTATTAGGGGAAAGCTTCAAAATCCAATTTTTGGCTTAGCTGGGGTGGAAAAGTAAATTTAATTGATTTTGAAATCGAAAAAACATGTATATTTTTCAAATTAGCGTTTTTGATTTATTGTTAGGGTCCGCTTCGAAATCCAATTTTTGGCAATATTTTAGCTGGGTTAGAAAAGTAAATTCAATTGATATTGAAATCGAAAAAAAAGTGATTTTAATTAAGGGTTTTTAATTTGGTATTAAGGGGGAAGCTTCGGACTCTAATACTAAATACCGGCCCCTAATAATTAAAACTACCTGAGGCGTTTATTATTTCTTGGGGAGGTGGGGTTTAGTATTAGGGGAGAAGATTAATCAGCGCAATGCAGGTTGATTCAAAATCAACACCCGATTTCACCCACAGATCTCGAGCTTGGACTGAGCCAGGAGCGTTCTCATTGTTTGCCACCCACATGCATGCAAGTGAATCAATGGTCGTGCCGCTATTCTTCTGGTAAAGAAGGGCTCGCATATCGTCTATACCGAAGTTGAAATTGGAGATGAAAGTATGCACGTCCGGTGCGATAGCTTGAAGGTCATAGCTCACCACCGTGTCGAGCTTGTGATTCGCATTTGAAGTGGTGTAGTTCTCGTTGGCCCAGGCAGATGCGTTATGCGGCGGGAAAATGATACGCTTGGGCTGCAATGCGATAAATAGGGCGTCGGGCTCCCACCAGTAGAACAGACACAGTTTGTTGGCAGCCAAGTCTAAATAGTCACTAAAAGTTGCGGCAACAGCAATGGCCAACTGAAGCCCCCAGATTGCAGACTTCTGCATAAAGGCAGGCATCATCCATCCATTTCCTCCTCAAGATCCAATGGATCCAAAGGATCCAATCAACCCAATCCAGCTGGCAAACAAGCAACCAATTAATTCATACGACCAGCGAAACAGTCAAGCCATGCATCATAAGAAACATATCTAAATCTGAATCGCTCCGAGCCGAGTCGCTTACACAAATCCGATTCGTTGAAATCAAATCAAGACCCGTGAAGAACAGTTGGAAGACTCTATTGTTTATGCAACCACCAAACAGTCAATCAAGACATTGTACATAGGTTCTTCACTGGGGGAAACCAGTAATACAACAAAAACAAACAGTAACAAACTGCAAGGCACCATTTTTCATGTTACAAAGGTATCACCTTGGCCTGGTCGTACCCTAATCTTGACATCTGCCAATCAAATCCGGCCTGTGATGACAGGAACACATTGAGCACCGAGAAGATCTCTGCAAGAACCTGGTGCAAGCCACCAGTGACTGTCATAGCACGTGCCATCACCTCAAGTCACAGGTATTGGCAGGTCAAGAGTTCAGAATCTCAGAAGTATGAACCAATACGGTAGATTTTGATAGATTATGAATGGTTATGACAGCATGGGCTCTGCGACTCTGTGCACTGCGTTCTTTATTGCTTGTTCTTTGCCTGTGTAGCGCATCGCGGTCTGTGAAAGGCCTGTTGCACAATTTCTCCGTGCAAGTATGAGGTATGAACACGGTGCACTTTAGTAGCGACGTCGAAGCAGAGCTTTCGCAAAGCTCAAGCAACCTCTACGCAATACTAGAGCGTACTGCGACGGGCTGTTAAGAAGACACTAGACCTCTTTAGGACCGCAACATGTCAAAAATGTTCAACGACATACTGACAGCTTCTGAAATGTCGTGTGATGTGCAATAATTTGATATAATTACATTATATCTGATTATATATGTATAATTTGTGTAAAGAATGCGCAACAAAAACAGTTATACAGGACCCCGCGCTACCCTGTGTTTATTAGCAAAGCCTTCGCGCGGGCATGCCTAGAACAGCACTGAAAATCGTATTGGCAAAAAGGCCAGTGTGGATTTGTCCCATGGTCTGAGCAGGCTGAGACTGAGCACTCTTTAGATCTCGTTGCCTAACTTTGTTACGCAATAATTGTTTGCTTAATTTAGCCGTTCTCTTTGCATCTCTTCCGTCTTCGACACGCGTGGCTCGAAGAATCATCGCATTATCTTTACCTTCAGTGAGGGGAAACAACCAACTCGCTTGCGTGCTTGGATGTATGTGAGCCAATTTGTCTATCAACGTATATCAGCTATCTGGATGCGAAGCTGTTGATCACGCTCCTGACGCCGCGAGGACAGAGCTCGCTTCCGACAAACCTTTGTGCAAACCTTCCTATGTCGAATAAACCAAACGAAAATAGGCAGTTTGTGTTTGGCAATTGTTCCTACAGTCTTTCAGTATGCTTCCGGGCAAAAGACGTCCACTGATGTCTTGTCATCCTCATGCTTTCCAGCTGTGAGGTTGGGACGCTCAGCACAGACGAGACACCGGAAGCATCCACACCCCCTGTGTCATCTGTGATTTGGACATATGTGGCCATGATGGTCCTGTCCATCAATATCGTCTGACTGCAAGGTGCCAGTTGGGTGCTGCTGAAGGCTGTGAGATCATCGAAATAGTCATGGGGGTTCTGAGACGACAGGAATGCCTCCTCGACAACAAATCAAAACAAGAAAACATCAGACTCTGACATGAGGAAAACATCATGGCACGCCCGAAGTCCCAAAGGTGACATCCTGTTTCCACCTATGTCGCAATTTGCATTCGTGGCTTTGCACACCACTGAGTCAAATGCCTATGGATCTTTGCGGTATGTACACACAAGAAAACGAAACTTTAATTCTCATTAATTTTTCAACCAATTACTTATACTTAAAACCAAAATATTTTTACTTCATGCAGCTGTTGAGGCTCCAGGATCATGACAAAACTACAGTGCCTCACGATATTCCATTAAATTCTATGATTCTTCCGTCATTGGCGGCACACCGCGGTCCAACCCAGAATTGCGATGAAGTCCCCAATCTCTGATATGAAGGTTTTCAATAGGAATAGGATACAACAGGTGCGTGTTGCAGAACCGTTCGCAAGTTTGCGCCGCACAACAACTTGAGGCCCGGGGGGGGGGTTAACGAAAGCTAAAGGTCACATCAATGTGGAAATAGGTGAGCTGAACGTGGAAACATGCAGGGATGTGGAAAGCTGGCGCATGTCTCCGGAGTCTTTTTTGCGGCAATGAAGTGAAACTGCGGCAGTGTGAAGTGAAACTGGAACAGCGGTAAAAAAAATTGGGGCGGAGCACGTGCGCTAGAAACGTGCGAGAAAGATGGCTAAAATTATATGCAGATGTAGGCATACATAAAATACATATGTATATATATATATATCACTAAATAACATAAATAAATACAAATACAAATGTGTATATATACCTGAGAAGGGGGGAGCGAAAGCCAGCTCTGATAATGAAAACCCCTGCGCGCAGCAAATTGCTGCGTGTAAGACCTTCAACATTGAAATCCTCCAGTTGCAGCGTAGCCCAAACTGCACAGAAAATTTTGAGGCAGACATACCTGTTGCAGCGAATTTCCTTCACGTAACACCTTCAAAATTGGAATTCTTCTGTTGGAACAACCCCGTAAGCACCACGACTGAGAGCATCAAACTTCTTGCGCAGAACGTCTTCAAAATTGGAGTTCTCCAGTTGCAGCAAACCCTTAAGCACCACGACTGCACGTAGCACCTTCAAAATTGGAGTTCTCCAGTGGTCGCCTTCCTAAAACTCTGTTGGTCAGCTACGTATCTCTAGTCTGTTAAGCAAATTATTTCGCCCTATCGATTTCTCTGACAGGCTACTTAACTCGCCCACGAGAACCCAGACCGAGGGGAATCGATACCCTACCGCGGCCAATTTCCAGCGCGTAACACCTTCAAAATTTGAGTTCTTAACCGTCACGTCATCTGTTTCTGAGATACACGCTGATACAACGGGGTCATCTGGGACCGTGGAAAAATAAATGGGCCGTGGCAGGTATTTTTGCGAAGTACAGAACGCTATCATCGTGCTGCGCACCAATGGATATGGACGCAGATACCAGGAACCAAATCTAGGGTCTGCATGTTTGGATCACGGTCATGTTAAGCCGTGTTCGGCCTATGTGGGACATATGTTAGGCTTATCGGCTTATGTTGGTCCATGTTGTGTTTTTAGACGCCATGTTAGGGCCATATTCGAGCCATCTTGAATTTAGATCAAGCCAAGAAGGGCATGTTCCTTTCAAGCCTTTACCCGGCGCAAAAGGAACACGTCGTTTTTTGATCATGTCGGGACCATGTTGGGCGTATATGGAGCCCATGTTGGGCCTAGGTCTTGGAGGCTATGTTGGGGCCACATTCGAGCCATGCTGAGCTTATGTCAAGCCAAGAACAGCGTGTTCCTTTTAAGGCTTTACCCAGCCCAAAAGGAACACATCGTTTTTGGATCATGTCGGGACCATGTTGGGCGTATATGGAGCCTATGTTGGGTCTATGTTGATCCATGTTAGGCTCTTGGAGGCTATGCTGGGGCCATATTCGAGCCATGTTGAGCTTATCTTGCGCCAAGAGCTGCATGTTCCTTTTAAGCCTTTAGGGTATACGCGGCCCAAAAGGAACACGTCGTTTTTGGATCATGTCGGGACCATGTTGGGCGTATATGGAGCCTATGTTGGGCCTATGTTGACCCATGTTAGGCTCTTGGAGGCTATGTTGGGGCTATATTCGAGCCACGTTGAGCTTATGTTAAGCTAAGAACAGCGTGTTCCTTTCAAGAGCTCCAATTTATCAATTCCCCCTCGGTCTGGGTTTTCCTGGCCGAGCTATGTAGCCGGTCAGAGAAATCGATAGAGCGAGACATGTTGCTTAAAAGGCTAGAGATACGTAGCTGACCAACATAGTTTTAGGAAGGCGACCACTGGAGAACTTCAATTTTGAAGGTGCTACGTGCAGTCGTGGTGCTTAAGGGTTTGCTGCAACTGGAGAACTCCACTTTAAGCTTATGGGTTTGCTCCAGCAGAAGAACTCCAATTTTGAAGGCAGTAGGGTATCGATGCCCCCTCAGTCCGGTTTCTTGCCATTTAAACAAATAGATGGAGAAAAATATATTGCTCAAGAGTCTGAAGATACGTTAGCCACCAACAGAGTTCCAGGATGTCTGCCTCAAAACTTTCTGTGCAGCTAGGGCTACGCTACAACTGGAGGATTTCAATGTTGAAGGTCTTACACGCAGGCAATTTGCTGTGCGCAGAGGGTTTCATTATGAGAGCTGGCTTTCGTTTCCCCCTTATGTAGCTATGCGCAATCTATCCGTCCATCCATCCACCCTTGATGAGCCGTCGCGACCGTTCTATCTACCTATCTATCTATCTATCTATCTATCTAATCTTATGTAATCTTATCTAATCTTATCTAATCTTATCTAATCTTATCTATCTTATCTAATCTTATCTAATCTGATCTATCTTATCTATCTTATCTATCTTATCTATCTTAACTTATCTATCTTATCTATCTTATCTATTTTATCTACCTTATCTACCATATCTATCTTATCTATCTTATCTATCTTATCTATCTTATCTACCTTATCTATCTTATCGATCTTATCGATCTTATCGATCTTATCTATCTTATCGATCTTATCGATCTTATCCATCTTATCCATCTTATCTATCTTATCTATCTTATCTATCTTATCTATGTTATCTATACTGTATATTATCTATCTTATCTATCTTATCTATCTTATCTATCTTATCTATCTTATCGATCTATCGATCTATCGATCTATCGATCTATCGATCTATCGTTCTATCGATCTATCGATCTATCGATCTATCGATCTATCGATCGATCGATCGATCTATCTATCTATCTATCTGTCTCTCTATCTCTCTAACTCTCTATCTCTCTCTCTCTCTATACCTCTCTATCTAGCTGTCATCCAGCTATCGATAAATTCCCTCTCTCGGTCTACTCTCCATCCATCTATTATCTGCCTGTATTGATCAATTTGTCTACTTGTTTAGCCCTAGTATTTGTCTACCCATTTAAACCCAAAATCACGGACCAGGGGGATCGATACCACCGTCACCCATTTGCCACCTGGTACGCTACCTTGCAAAACGACCCCAAAAGCCAACCTAAACACCATCTAATTCTGTGATTTTGGATCCGTTTGTCGTGGGGTCCCCCCACACCCCCTCACTATGTTCGCAAACAGTAACGAGTCCAGCCTGTCCGGCTGGCTTTCGTAGTACATGAAGAAAGAAAATGCAGAAAGAAAATCAGAACACGATATCGACACAAAGAGATAGACATGCATATACAGGCACAGGAGCTGCACAATGGAGAGGTTCATATGTAGAAGGCAGTTGCATGCTGTGTTTGGTGACATCGGGTGGAGGTATATAGAGCCGCAAACTTACACAACATAAATGCAAGTGATCTAGGACTTTGCAGCCAGCACCGCCATTGAATAACTATAGGGAGGATTGTATCCGGAGCTGCTTTTGAGCTCGCTGCCGAAAAGCGTCAGACTCGTCAGACGATACTCATCCACAGGGGCGTCGGAAGGAGTCAAGACGGTTGCAAAGAAGAGGTGTAATGCTCAGCTTTCATTCGTAGAACATGCGAACCAAAGAATATGGTTACTGTAAAAAGTTGGGGCCCTGTCCAGACGTGTATTTTTTGATGGGGCTCGAATCCTCAACTGTTGATCCGGGCCACAAAGAATTCTATCGAGCCCACTGCCAAATAGTTAGAAGCTCTGGCGAGCTTGGAATGTCTGAAGTCTGAGCCATAGAAGATGGGTACGCGATAAAGTTTGGGCCCCATCCAAAATTATAATTTTTGATGGGGCTCAAATCTACACAGTGCTGACCTGAGTCAGAAAGAACTCTATCGGGCCCAATGCTAGAGAGTTACAGATCCTGAGCTAGAGAGTTACAGAGGGACGGCCCTGGCAGGATTTGAGCCCATGACCATCTGCTTCCGAGACTGCTTCAAAACGCCCCGGGAGCTCAGAGGGGGTGAAAAATCAAAATCAATGTGTTGGAGTCAGACCTGCCCCTCCCCTTGCTGAAACAAGAGTAACTCCAGCTAGCTACCGCTAGCTTTCCTGATAAAGCATCGCAAAACATCCCATGCCATGATTTGAGCACAAAAGACAACCTGACAACCGGCTCTCTCGCCTTCTATCCTTCGCCCGGGGAAGTTGCCAGAAGGCAAGCGAACTGAGGACGCCAAGCACTACGTTTAGAAGTTCCTTCTTCTATGCACGAGCAAACACAATGAAACGAAAGACCAATTTGAACAAACAACACAGAAGTCCGTATGAACACTTATGGCAAAAACAAACTGGGCAACCAAGGTAAACATTTTGAGCGGACACTCGGTAAACAATCATTATCACGTTCACAGCACGAAATGCAGTTGAATACAAGACACCAAAGAAACATCTAGACGAACCTACCTCAACAAACGCTAGCAAGTGGAGCAACAATATTCAGGAACAAACAGCAAGACACACTTATTCCATCAAACACGGCGCTCACAGTACGAACCCCAGTGGTAATATGTGCCAATGATGCCAACTACCTTCCACCACCTTGGGAAAGATTCTAGCAGCTCCCTGCAGGCTGTTGATATGATCAGCAGGAGATCTTCATGGGTCAATTCTTCCGGTCCTTCGTGTCCAACGCGGGCGATGTGGTCTTTAGATCCCATACGCCTTTGCTGACGTAGAGGCCCTCATAGGATCGGTATATTTTGCTTGCCCGTACAGGAGCAAAAGCTGGAGTGTAGAGAGTGACCTGCGTGCACAGCTAAGAGTTTGTCGGAGACCAAGAAAACACCCTGGAAAACCGTTCAATTCAAACGAAATGACAACAGGTATTTGATAGTATTTGCTTAATCTTGGAATCTATACTATCCCCATTTCCCATATTCACGGACATACCAGTACTCGCCAAACGACCCGTGGCGATCTTAACGCGAAGCCACAGAAGCCACAGAAACCTATAATTAATCAATTTGTGAAACCTGTCAGCTTGGGCACGGGATCACCAGACCCCAAGCTTTGCGTTTTGCAATTTCTGGATCCTACATTGGAAATAAGATGAAATGAGAGTGTTAAGAGTCTCAAGCGAATGGGCTTAGATAATCCTTCAAGTTCTAAACAGTTTCGAAGTGGATACAGTACTCAAAGGAGTGCGATTGGTTTATATTTCTATGACACTATGATAAGCAAAGGTAAGCAGGTTCCCCCTGCACCAGCCATTTGTTGATTGAGGGATCATCCTGGTAAGTTGGTTTCCAACACTCGCAATACAGTGGATGACTGAACGGTTAACCAGGTGATCAACGTGTAGCATTGCTGGCCCTCCAGGTGCCCCATCCTAAACCTCGTTCTGCAGCTGGGACACGCTACTCCAGACATCAAAATGTTGCCATATATATCCTTCCATCAGCACGTGACTCTCGGTGCTACCAGCCGAACAACCGGTCCAGTCATAAGGGTAGTTGGTGCAACCAGCCATAACCGGGAAAATTGCTGCCACAGTGTTGAATCCTGATCTGGAAACTGAAAAATGGCGGGACCAGAGGCACAGGACTCAAACTAGTTATGTTGAAATGTTTTGCATGACCTCTGTGTTTTCTTAACCTCGGAAACTGATTGCTTTGAACCTGCGTATTATCTATTCAAAGTCTGTGTCATCACTTCGCCCCTCACAAATGCAGGTGCACTTAAATGGAAACGTGAACTCATAAAGGAAGGCAAAATTCCTTCATGCAACTCAGCGTTGTAGCCAAGCACTTCTTCAATCACCACCTTGGCAATCCTGCTCAAGATCTTCACAGATTCCCATCCCGGATCCATAATTCTCACAGAAATAGCGTCACCGTTTCCGTTCACCACATTCTTACCTGAGGGGATCGGCTCGCAGTCTGGACTTACAAGCCCACAATTGCTGAACAGGAGAACGAAGTGAATAAATTACTGTAACATGTCAGAAGAAACCTGTCTGGCTTTAGTGACCTGAACATGAGGCCTTGCAAGGGGGTCGAGTGATGAATCCTACAAGCGAAGGCTGGTAGAAATACCCTTATTGAGTTAAGGATGTGAGAACTTTACGTCGAACCAAGGCGTGGAAAACGCGAACAGTTTAAGACGATGAACAAGTGGGAAGTGGTTCTATTACTTCGTGGAAGGCCAGTTTGAATACAATCTACGCCTCTTAGGGCGAACCAAGTCACTGACAAGTAAACGGTTATATCTTTTCTCCGTGAACATGTTCCACCATTGTTCATCGATGTTCCACATCATGTGGGATGGCTCCAGTCTTAAGACAATAGCAACAATCAGCGATATTAATAAACCAAATTAAAAAACACGTGAAATTTAAACTATATATATATAGATATATTGTTGCATGAAAGGTGGACATGCGGTATCAATGACAACCTCTGTCAGCTCCTGAAGTCATCGCTAAAATCACCATGACTCCTATCCACCTTGCTCCGCTTCGAAAATCATAGAACGAAATCCTTCATAAAACCTTTATGCGATTATGATCAAGTATGTATGAGAAAGAGGAACAATCGACTATATGATATGGCAGGGTCAAACTATCTGTACATGTCCAATGATATCTGATATGCAGCAAACAATTCACTAAAAATATCCTTGGACATCCTTCAGTTACAATATGTGTATGATAATCAAAGGAAGTTTCATTGCGGAAACTCCGAGTTGCGGAAAGTGAACATTCTCACTAACCAAAGATCATTGTGTCCCGTGGGCACCTGCGTTAAGAGATCATTAAGTCATTCTCACTGGCCTTAAGATCATTGTGTCCAGTGGTCACCTGCGTTAAGAGATCATTAAGTCACATTCTCACTAGCCCAAAGATTATTGTGCTCAGCTGGCACCCGCGTTAAGAGATCATGAAGTTACATTCTCGCGAAACCAAAGATCATTTAAGTAGAGGAGTAGCTCAAAAAATCATTAAGCCTAGATGGAATGTGCTTGAAGTAGAGGAGGAGGAGGAGGCGGAGGAGGTCAAAAGATCATTATGTCTAGTTAGTTGGCATGTACCTGAAGTGCAGAAGAGTAGAGTAGGGTACAGTAGACTAGACTAGAGGAGAGTAGAGCAAAGTAGAGAAGAGTAGAGTCGACCAGACTAGACTAGAGTAGAATAGAATACTGTAGAATAGAGCAGACTAGAGTAGAGTAGAATAGAATAGAGCAGACTAGAGTAGAGTAGAATGGAGAAGAGTAGAGCCAACCAGTGTGTTTTGCATGTCTTAGATCGCGATGGACCTGCTACATCAATGATGTGATTCGACCGTGGTTTGAATGTTTGGATTTGAACGAAAAGTTGTACTTCTTTCAGGCAAACGGAGGTTGCGGAAAAACGTTGGCTCGCATGCGCGGCGGGGTTGGGCGTCGTCGGTTTGGGTCCGAATCTAGCTCGAACTGCGCTGGCATTGGAATCGAGGCTTCCAAGTGACCTTTTTTTCTCTGGTGACGCTGTTCTATGGTAGTTTGCATGTGTTGAGATACTTTGTGCATTGGAATTGCTGCATCGAAGCAACTTGCTCGCAAGCAATGTGTTGCGATTCTACTGTGCTTGGCAACTCAGTCTCTGCAGATCGCATTGGCGTGGCTGCTTAAAGGCTGCTCGCTTCGGCGGCTGCGTGCGTAATATTATTTATATATTATTGTCTTTCGCAGGTACCGTAAATCGTATTGGAGTGGCTGACGCAAAGTTGAGAATGGTGATTTTACAGCAGAGTTTTCTCCATTTTGGCGCTGGTGATTCTCCTTTTAAAATGCCTTTTAAACAGTGCTGCAAAATCGCCGTTTTCCCGCTTTGGCGTCGAGATCCGGTTTTGAAGCTGCAGTTTCTGTCTCTCTCTCTCTCTCTCTTGCTGCTGCGCGTAGTTCTACTGCGCCTTGCAATTCAGTGTCCGCTGGTCGCAGTGGAATGGTTGTATTAAAGCTTCTCGCTGCTGTGTCTGTGTGCGTATAATAGTGCGGCTGCGGGTCGTAAATCGTGTTAGAGTGGTTGCATCAGGGTTGCGATGGTGCTTTGGCAGAAGATTTTCTCCATTATGGCGTTGGTGATTTTCCTTGTCGGAAACTTTCACAAGTAATTCAAATCCGTCTTTTTTTTTGCTTCAGCGCGGAAATCCGGTTCTGGAAATGCAATTTCTGCTGCCTTTATGTACATTGAAGCTTCTCTGTGTAAAAACTTTTCTGTGTATATAAAAACTATCTGTGTAAAGCTTGCTCTTTCTAAGGGCTTCTGTGTGAAAGAGGTCCTGTGTGTAAAAACTTCTCTGTGTAAACAACTTGCTCTGTAAAAGTTTCTGTGTAAAAGCTTCTCTGTGTAACAGCTTGCTCTGTGTAAAAGCTTCTGTGTGAAAGAACTTATCTGTGCAAAAAACTTTCTCTGTAAAAGCTTCTCTGTGTACAAGCTTCTCTGCGTAAAAGCTTCTCTGTGTAAAAGCTTTCTCTGTGTAAAAGCTTGCTCTGTGTAACAGCTTCTCTTTGTAAAAGCTTCTCTGTGCAAAAGCTTCTGTGTAGAAGCTTCTGAGTGTAAAAAAAGCTCTGTGTAATTGTAAAGTATCTCTGTGAAAAGAGGTGGGAAGAGGCGAGAAGAGTTGAGATGGGCTGAGAAAGAGGTGGGAAGAGTTGAGAAGAGACGGCAAGAGGTGAGAAGAGTTGAGACGATTTGGGGAGAGTTGAGAAGAGGTGGGCAGAGGTGAGGGTCGTTGAGAAGAGTTGGGAAGAGTGAAAAGAGTTGAGCTGAGGTGGGACGAGATGAGAAGAAACTTGAGAGACTTGAGAGCTGTTGAGAAGAGTTGTGAGAAGAATTGAAGAGAGCTGAGATGGTCTGAGAAGAACTGAGATGGGCTGAGAAGTGGTGGGCACAAGGTGACAAGAAACGAAGCAAGATCAGGAGCAATTCACAGAACAGAGTTTCTAAGATGCGAGGCCTCGCTCCATTCCTTGCTGCTGGAAACTTCCGTGTATCTATTCCTGTCTGTACGAGCCTGAACCAACCAGCGTCGTTTTCGGCTGTTGGCCTAGGGTCATGGCGAGTCATGCCGAGTGCTGCCCTTGGACCTGGCAGCCGAGTTGCGGGTCATTACGGCACTGCTGAGGCACGGGGCTGTCGTTTGCAGACTCCTTTGACTCCGCTCCGAACTCCGCTCCGAAACATCTGCAACCAATGCGCCGTAACGAGGATCTCCCCAAGCGTGAAGAACATCTCGAGAATCTTGATCTCTCACTTCAGCAATGAAAACACCATTGTTGGAGCCGTCAAAATGGCTATGTATTGCCTTGACTTCAAAGACTTCAAGATGTCTTGGAAGCTTCTTGGGATAGTCTGTGCGTCCACCGCTCTGCGAGTCACCCCAGGCAACGATGCGATCGTTTGGCCTCGGAATATCACTCGTATCACGAATAAGCGCAGCAAAGGAATACGGCGTTCCAAAAACTTCGACGACATTCTGCAGTTCGGGTGGATCTTGTCTACCAAGGCGTTGCCCCCACGTTACCTGACGGCCAGGACCGCCAGGATGTAGGAAGAATTTAGAAGACAGTCTGGCAAGATGTGGTAAGATGATGTAAGACGTGGGAAATGATCAAAAATAGTAAAAAACGCGGAAAGCATACTGTATGTTGCGTGCCCTTGGTGTTGCCACACGATTTGTGGAAACGTGATCTCTGAACAGCTTTGCAGTTGTCAAGAGAGAAACCCTGAGCGCAACAGGGTAAAATGAGAAACCGTTAGAAACCCATGGCTTTAGTTTTGAACCTGCTTCTGTATAGAACCTGCAGTGTATCTATCGATGTCAGTCTGCGAGGTGCAAACGTTAGCTGAAGAGACCCTGGACTGACGTCTTGAACCCAGTGGCAATATGAAAAGGATAAAAGTCACAACTCTTAATGATTCTTCATGGTTGAACACTCTCTTTTCAGTTGCTCAAGTAATCCTTCAAAATCCTTTCCAGATATTCCAAGGTACAATGGAACCATCTTTTTTGATGGCGACACAGGCGAATCTCGGGCAAAGGATGGACCTGAGATTCGAGAGATCGACGCTGCTCGAGTCGCCGAAGGTCTTCGGATCTCCGAAACAAAAAGCGGTGCCGTCAGGTCTCAACACAGCACCTGCGGTGTGCCTCCTTAGTTTTCATGGGTTTCACATGGTTTCACAGTTCAAATCATTTCAAACCCACGTCTCTGTGGTGTTTAGCGGTGTCTCAGCCGTTAACTCAAGAGATATACTTCAGCTGGATCATGCTGGATCACACATAGAAGCACCAGGTCTTATGACCATTACTATCACTACGATATCATTATGATTAATTATGATCAGTATTCTCCTCTCCCTTGACATCCGCATTTTTTTGGCTTTATTGTGCAAACTTTCCTGCAACCACACTGGTACACAATCTCTTCTCATCTCCTTTTGAACACAGCCCGCCAAGGGAATAACTTGAGAATGGCCATTACAGTATGTCACCGTGTGCATCACACCAAAGAGGACACCAACAAACTCTGGCAACCACAAAAGATTACAAAACACAGGAATTCAATGTTACATTCGAAGTTTTTAACGGTTTTAGCGGAGGTTTAACGTATTTAAATGATTTTAAAAGTTGTTGAACGCCGTGTTTCAATTGGACCTGCTCTGCGCGGACAATTTGCGACTCCAATGGCACACCCTTTTTGTTGTGGCCCCAAATCACAGCCGTGGAATTCGCTTTCCAAGCAATGAAACCACGGTCAAAAATGCTTCGTCGTTCGAGACGAAGCACTCCGCTTTGCAGGTGCGAACGCACGGCGCTGGAATCGCCACCGAACTCTGGATGCCCCCACGTCAAGACAGAGCCGTCTTTTCTCAAAGCTGCAAAGGAAGAAAGACCTCCAAATACTTCTACCACAGGGTTATCCCCATCATAGACTTTTTTGAGCAAATCTCCATCCCATGTGTAGACCGTTCCATCCTCCTTGATACAAGCGAAAGCTTCTGAGGAAGCGATGACATCTACAACTCCTGAATCCAATGAATCCAATGAATCCAGTTCTTCCAAATCTTGCAGTGCTTCATCTGCTTCCGCATCTCCTTGGGAGTGTGAGGGTTCCAAGGGCTTCAAGGCCTCCAAGGAGTGCTGTGCTGCGTTGCCATCGTTGCCTTCATCTGCTTCTGATTCGTCGGCACTGAGCTTTCCCCAAAAGACAACACCGCCATCAGCTCGTAATGCAGCAAATGCATATGCTGATGCAGCTAGCTTCACTACACTGTCAAGATTGACACGAGAATCTCCTCCTTCTGATGCCTTTCCCCACGAAATCACGGAACCATCTGCCTTCAACGCTGCAAAGGCACTCTTTGTAGCAACCACACTCTGTACACCGTGCTCTATACCGGACATGTCTACACCGGACATGTCTCTCACCGAGCTTGAGTCACCACCTCTGCCTGGATCTCCCCAGGTTCTGACACCGCCATCTTTCAACATGGCCCAGGCACCATCTGTGTGGAAAAACTCTGGAGCTCCACCAGCTGCATTTGCAGCCACTAGAGCCACTACGCAGGCCACGGCGAGAGATCTCATTGACGGTCTCCGCTCACCTCGGAGGAAGCACTTTGTGCTCCCCGGGTTGTGCCTCTCACTGACTCTGCTGTGGCTTGATTCTACTTCTTTGAAGTAAAATGCTGCATGGATGTGCCACAAGATGTCATGATTCATATGATTCATATGATTCATTGTATATTTGCGATCCAGAAGCTTGGTCGGAAAAAACATCTTCAAACGGAAGCTTCCTCCAACCCATCCTTGTATAAATATTCAAGTCAGCATTGTCAGCATTGTAGGATTTATAGAATCGATATAGAATCGTTTTCTGCTGTGACCTGCCTTTTGCAATGTGCATCGATGAGCCTGCTACCTCTGTTTGTTTATGCGGAAAGAAACATATTTGCACGAAAAACAAACACATCTTCGTACATCTTACCCTCTGTCAACCGTTTCAAGTACTGGTTGCAACTTGCAGCACACCTTGTAAACAACCTTGGAATTGCAAACTTGCACTTCAGCGCCTTTTTCAAAGCCCACGTTCAGAGATTCCGTTGGCACTTCGAAAGCAACAACTCTATGAATCAATCTACAACAGCAACATGTAACAGTAATAATTATAGTGACCTGATGGCACACGTCACCAGAGCTAGCAGCATGTCTTTGCTGCATGTGGAACGACGAACATCCATGGATATTCTTCCGAGAAGCATTTGGATGCAGCTGGTATGGTGTGACCATCCAATTTGCAGTTCTCGAGTCAAAGCAATGCACCGTGTACTTTCTTCGACACTTCCATTGAGCATGGACCAAATGGACGCTGCGTTTGTTCCACAACGAACTACAGCACCCAGCAGTGACCCGGTGACCTCATCACTGGTCAGATCATCTTTCGGACGAACAAACCTGGAAAGTCTGACGCAGGCGGTAGATAATAATATCATTTAATAAATTAATGTAGATAAGAAAAAACATGAAGAAATAACAAAACAACAATCAATCAAGCAGCTATCAGGCGACCAAACTCCCAACGCTTTTAGCACCAATGTGAGAGAGTCGTTTTCAGAGAGTCAAGCAATCTGTATTGTCATGTATTGTCCATTGGACCAACGTCCATAATTTCAGGCAGTCCCGAAAATGACAAGCTCAAGATTTCAAATGACCTTCTAGAGCCCAACTTCCATTCGTGGCTTTCATTCGGTCTCCTCTCAAATGCCACTGGGGCCAGCATTGTCAGCCATGAAAAAGTAAAATTACATGGCTCCGCAAAGTTCCGCGTAGTTCAACTGTAACTCATGCGGGGGATCATGTCAGTAGTGTACTTAGTGTATAGTTTCAACTTTCAACCTTGCAACTCTTTTTCGAAGCTAAGCTACATCAACATACACGTTTTTGCACAGATCCATCTAGGCTTTTGAATAATGCATCCTCGTTTTCATCTGAGTATTTTCTGTATTCCAATGTATTACGTATACCATATGATAGGTGATGCATATGAGTCACATGCAGTCTCTGTACTAAGTGTACTAAGTATACTAAGTGTAGTAAGTATACTGAGTATATGCAGTGAACATACAATACAGATGATGAACATGCGATACTGTCTCTTGTTGGTCGCCACTGGCTGTGCCTCGGAACTTGCAGCGCCAGTTTCCACATTTTCGGCCTCAGTATGTCTCATGAAAAGAGAAGACGCAGAAGAAAGTTCCGCACAAAGTTCTGTTTACTTTCGTAGAGAAAGATGAAGAAAGGATGAAAAGGCATCCGCATGACTCAAGTGCTCTTCAATCTTCTTAAACACGCTGTTTCAGTGCTTGAGTACCTACTACAAGATTGACAGCAGAATACCAAGAAGATACATTGGAGATGCACTGACCTTGCACTTGCACACCCATTGCATCCCATTGCACACCCGGCCTCCACCTCCTCTATCTTCGCATCCCACTGGCAGAGACCAAGGTCGAGATCAATTGCGAATCAGAGAGAAGAGCTGCTACAAATGCACTGACATTTCTTGCCCAAAGCAATAACCATCAATAACCATCAATAACCATCAATAACCAGGCAAACCAGCTTGTTTTTTGATGTTTTTTGGACAGGCTCTGCGTTTCTCAAATACTCAGCTCCTTTCCTGTCCAAGAGATGCCAAGAGATGCCAAGAGCACCGAAACGAGGCGGTCCAAGATGGTCCAAGGATGTCCAAGGCCAGGTGTCTCCGCGCCTGCAACTCTTGCCAGGTGCCGTCCTGACCACTTGGTCTTGCCTCACGAACACACTTTGGAGGACAGCATGGGAAATCAACACTTTATGAACTTTTTTAAACATGAAGTTCATAAAGCGTCCATACTGTATCACGATGTGTTATTGTTGATGCCAACATGTGTTCACCAAAACGCTCCGGATCAAGCACTGTCATTGTTGTTTAGTTCATACTGTAGAGGGATCTTCTTATATCTCAATCTCATGGAGTGAATGCGTGGTATCTGGAGATTTGTCGCATTGACATCTTTGCTGGTCTGCCATGAGGCTGGTACCATGACACGCATCGCAACTGGGGCGTAGTTGTGCTTAAGCAAACCTTAGCTGAAATTGCATTTGCCTCACGCTGTTCCATGTCCATCGACTGCTGGCAAACCTGGACACCAGAAATGTCAAGTGGAAATGGTCCAATCGCATACAAAATTACGTTCAGGCACCCTATTTTCTGCTTAATTATACGCAATGTTTCCTGCAAGCAAACACGAGGAAACCCTTGCATTCTATCCCAATTGACCATCGCGCTCGCACTGGAAAGAGGGAATTGAGCCATTGCCAAACATGACCCACACTTTGCGTGCTATGAAGGCCGCAAGACATACGAGATAGCATGAGATAGCTAATCTCGCGCTTAAAGTCCAGTTTGGACGGAAAAGATGCTGTTGGAACACCGTCAGTGAATCGATGCTAAATTGCAAAATGGTCTCTTTGACTCGAAAGGACTGACTAAATCTAACGACGCATGTTGCGATACATGAAGATCGTTATCTGATCTCAAAATGCTTTTAGCTGCCCGCATTTGACAGATTGGCATTCTGCTATCCACTTCTATTGAATCTCTTAAGACAATTTAGTCATATTTAGTCTATGTATATGTTGTTGTCAATAGTCTCTTGATAAATGTGACTATTTTCTCTTGGTAGTTTTCCCAGAACACATGTTGGAGCTGAACAAGTAAGCATAAGAATCGCAATGCAGGGAAATGAGAGTGGAATTTCGGATCATCTCAGTCTTAGTGTACACCATTCTACATCACAGGAGCTGTGTACAGCAAATGCAGTGCCCCCCAGTATCTTAGAGCCCCCACCGCAGAAAAACCGATGGCCCACCCTCAGCGGCAACCCAGGCGACCCATCCTTTTTGAAGAAAATAAGTCATGAAGTCATGAAGTCATGCTGTTCTATGCCTCTTAATGTGCAGCTTTCATACGGCATACTATGAGCACACTGGGCACACCAGCTTGTGCTTGTAGCGATTGATCATGTAAATCCTTGCAGGCAAAGCAAAACTCACTGGATCTCACTGGCACGGGTCTCTAATCGAATGCCCCATGGGTTGAACTGAATACGAGTGGTTGATAGATGTCGATAGTGGTCGATAGGGGCTGAAGCAAGTGGTATGCGATAGCAACAAGAAACTCCGTCCCATCTGATACAAACAGGGGCTCCATCTCATCACCCACACCAGCCCTCTGCAGAAGCACATAAAACCACATGTCAAACAGTGCAAAATAACAAACTAATCATGCAATATCATGTATTGATATTGTTTAATAACAGAATTGTTGAGATCCCACTTCGCAAAGCTGACTTGATGCAGTGGAGGCTCGTGAAGCGAAACCAAAGCACTGCATACACCTCGATCTTGTATCTGAGGGTCTTGTAGGACATCCTTTGACTTCTGTTCTTTTGCTGAAGTATTTGGCATTCTTGTCCTTCACTTTGCAGACTTATGTTACCTGATTGGGGACATTTGAGATGTGCCAGCGCTCCGTCATTTTTGGTTTCATGCTTTCATTCCACACACAAATCGCTGAAGCAAGTTCTTTCTTTGTCCACCAGAATCTAACCTATTCAGAGACCTCCGGATTTTGTGACATTTTGGTGTCTATTCCCCTCTTACAATACGTGGCTCAAATAGACACTCTCAGCGTGAGAGACACCACTATGGGGAGAGTATTCACCAGTATCAAAATCCACATGCATACTGCATAATCTTGATAATATAGATGATAATAGTATTCGATATGTGTTATCTGATGCTATTTGCTTCAATTTTGTTTCACATATCAAATACCAAGCCTGCGAATCCTGCTAGGTATTTTCCCGTGTGACAGGATTCAGGCTCCCGAACTGCTCCAAGCCTTTGGCGACGCAAAGCACACAGCGGGATCAAAAGTTGAACATTCTTAGGGCGCAGTGCAGGCCCAGTCTTCGCATTGGCTCTTGGCATCTCCTGGTATTAAAATATTAAAGATGTATGAAGTATATTTTCTTTGAAGCTGAAGAGAGAGTGTAATATCGTTGATCTCTTCAAACACTGTGCCTGACCGGGAGCCGTGCTGCCAAAGAACAACCAAACATGAGTGACAAGAGTTCCGAACACATGCACAAGTTTCAGATCCTTCGGGCAGTATTTCCAACCTTAGTAACTACACTTTCTTTAACTAGGCTTATTGCAAACAACAACTCCATCCACTGTGCCGGCTTGGATTGAAATATGTTGAAATATTGATTTCGTTCAGTCAAAGCTCATGCATGATCTTGCTTCTCCTGCACCTTGTCTTGACATATCTTGCGCGATCTCGAACGGTTTGAATTTCCTTCCCTGGCATCTCCGATAAAGCCTCACTAAGCTTAAGCGCTTCAGCATAAACTGAGGCTCCAACATGCCTCCCAAGCACACTTGAGCTGCCTGTGCTTGTCAGGTTCGAACGGTGGAAGAAGGGAAAAGCTTCAGATAGAATTCCAACAAGTCTGGCTCAACATGGCTCAAGTGTATGGGGCATGATTCTCATAAGGAGGCGGGATCAAATGAAGACCTGACATATCTGGTTATCCTCACTGCTGGTACTGTTGCACGGATGCTTATCTAGAACATCTCACTGCCATGTTGCAACAAGTACACTGTAAGAAATCATGTATCTGATGTTCCCGAGCACAGGCTTGTGTCAATCAGAATCCAACTGCAAGTGCCGGTAATGCCCTTTCTGGATCTTTCTGGGTTTGCCCGCCTAGCACTTTCCGTTTGTTTTTGTCTTGACCCTCGCATTGCTTATATAGTCACTTCTAACCGGCAAGTTATTCTCTTGCCGAATGTCTGTTTAAAACTTATCGACTGCTCCCTGAAAATTCGGCAATGCAACCAAGCCACCGTATGGTCGTGCAGAACCACTCGCATCAGGGGGACCTCAAATAACAAATGGCATATGGAAGCCTTGCGGCCTTGCAGTGCCTTGCAATGCACTTGAATCATTTGAATTTGTTGAATTAAAACCGATGGAGAAGTGCTCTGTGGAACTCCAAATTTGTGAAGTCATGCACATCTCTCTTATGTTCAGTTACTGTATATACGTTGAACAGTTGAAAAGCAAACAGCTGGTTCAACAAAATTCTGAGTCAGCTGCAGGGCCAAGCAGAAGTTGCCAAGTGAAATAAAAACCCAGAAACTCCGTATTGCTCATCACCTGGGCTCGGGTTTGCCTTGTCCATTCGGACCCTGTTCGGATACCATCAAGTTCTCCATCTTGGGTCTTAGTCAGCTTCATGGCAATGGCCCAAAATTCTACGTTGACCTGTTGACCTAGGGCTTCAATGAGCTTCACTGATGAGTGGAGTTCGTGTTCTATCAGTTCTTATATGTTCTTATCATCTCATATCGCTTGCAACACTCATGTTTCTTTCCGCAATTTCAGAAACGACCACAGTCCCAAAATCTTTGTGTCACGTAGGCCACCGACTCGCTTTGGGGCAAGTGGTGTCACCTAGGCGGAAGATGGCGGAAGTGGATGTTCGTTTCGAGATGTGTGTGGCAATGATTTGAGTGCCACTCAGGCTGTGACTGATATCATTTCTTTCAACCGCTGCTGCATTTCAACTTCGTCCTTGTCCTGGGATGCACATTGCACATGACAGGAACCATGGCCGCTGCCAACTGAGAGAAACGAAAACAAAACCTACTCAGAAAGTTTTTTGGGGACGGCGCCAAAATGGGCCAAAGTTAAGAGTGAAGTGCTCTGAATGGTTCTGAAAGAGGCATAGGTCTCCATAATTGCGCACACTGGTCTTGAGCTGGGTCAGACCGTGTCCTGAGTCAGCACGTTGCTATCTGGTTTCAAGCGGATAATGCCATCGAACATGGTCAGCATCAGGAAACCTGCAGGGCAAACTGTGGAAAAGACCAAGATTCTCTGCACGTGCAGGAGCAAGTGTAACAAATTGGAACAGCAGGGGTCATACTCATAACAGCTCATAACATCTCATAACATCTCAAAACATCTTATAACATCTCATAACATTCATGCACTCGTTGCACTCGTAGCTCGTACAGTGCTCCTTACCCTCTGGTCAGCCATGCTCAACTTCCAAAGCACTTTGCAGAATAAGATCCTGATAATCGATCCTGATGCTCCAATTCTCTAATTCTCCCAAGTTGGCTGCTGCATAAATGTGTTGAATCCTTCAAACAACAAATGAATAAAGCACGGACTTATATTAACCAAAGCACAACCGATGACAACCAATAGAATGCCATCAAACATAGACCATTCAAAGTTGTTTGAACCTTGCAAGAAATTCTAGGAAAACATGGAAAACACAACAAAAAGGACAACAAAAAGGACAAGATCAGCACGGAGAAATGAATCGGCCCACCGGACGCCTATTGCCATGGTTGAATGGGACGATGGCATGCCGCCTGCGAGGCGCATCCAAAGAAAATACAAAATAAAATTATATAAAATAATATAAAAATTATATAAATATCATAAATGTCGAAGCAAAGTTATACTGTTAAAATATGTTAGAATCTGTTAGATGTTACTGCAAGACTGTTGGATGTTATAAATGTTATTGTGTTAAATCTTTGCACAGAAACTGGTTCAAGTCCTCTCGGAGGCAATGAACTGCGAAGGTGCTGACCCCGTTTGGTACACAGGTCTGGAAGAAATCAAGATTTGCGGCAGAGACGTGTTTGAATATCAAGGAAAGAACAAAAGACAACAAGTGCCGTCTTGCGAACAGAGTGCAACCTGAGGTCGAAATACCCCCAGTTGGATGGAAACAAGCGGTCTTAGTATGGGAACGTATTGCAAACCCATCCAGAGTTCTTTCCTGCATCATGGTCTGATTTTTCTCAAACAAGTACGAAGTTCTGCCTAGTAAAAAACATAGTATAGGTTGGTTGGCATATTAGCAGCGAAACACCGAATCAAAATAAACTAAATAGAAGCTAGCACCCTACTCTTCAGGCACAAAACTGCTATTATGTCGCTTGATGTCGCTCGCGAATCTCAAACAGGCGAGAAGTACAGGTAGTGTTGCAGCTGCCAGCAGGTTGCCCGAAACTGTCGGTCAACGCCCCAGGTGCCTGAGACAGCGCCACAGCATGCCACAGCAAACAAGAATGGGAGGTCGTCTGGAACTGAGAGGGAAAGAAGTGGTGGAAAGGGAAGGAAGAGGATGGCAAGGGATGGAAAAGGATTGTGATGATTGTGTACCCTTACGTTGGGCAATGATGTGTAAGCTCGTTGGTAGATTTGAAGCTGTTGCATGATACAAAGCAACGCAAATTGACCATGCCACAGGGTGGATCTTGGGCATGACACATTGTGCAAAATAAACTGCGCTGCAGATATGCTAGGAGCGGCAGGGGTTCATCATCTCGTTCTGTACGGGTCCCTCCTGGTCCTTAAATCCTTGAAGATCTTGTAAAATTCTCATCTGAGCCATCTGCTTAGCTTCAAGCATTGAATGTCTAAACAAGTGGTGAGCGCCCAAGTGAGCAAAGCACTTCTGACATTGGGCTGTCTGGCTGGACCAAAGGCTCCAGGGCGCGCTGTCGCAAAAAACCTGGAGCAAAAAAAATCAGAGATGAGACGATGAGACAGGGAAGTTCTTATAGTTCTTCGTGCTTGGCACATGCTTCACACGTGCTTAGTAATAGTGACATGCTATACCGACGCGACTGGCAAAAAAGACCTGGATTTAGAAGAACAAGAAGTTAACAAAAGGACTATATTTGACTTTGTAAGTAATTTCCACGAACTCAGTTTCTTTCATGTACATGCATGGTACCATATGGTACCTAATACGTGCCCCAACAAGTCCACTTTTGCCTGAAAAACGGCCGCCATAATATAATAATATAGTATTTGATGGTGTTTGCATCCAAGCTATGGCAGCAACAGGCAAAGCAGCGGCTTTCGCATCAGTGTCACTGTGTGTGCTACGAGATACCACGAGTAGTTGACGGGTTTCCCATGAACATCCATGTACGTTATCTATCATTATCTACTGATATCCACGATGACGCCTTAAAATCATTAGTGGATGAGTAGAACATGGTAGAACTGCAAGTTGTAGATCCAGTCGAGTCGTTTTCCGGGTCTCCACACGGCTTCACCAGGAGCTCCTCAGCACAAACTGCTGGCAATTTCGCAGTACTGTCGTTTTAGGAGTATGAAGCACATTGAAGCACATTGAATCAGGAATCACATTGTTTAAGGTAATGATTCCGAAATCACCCAAGTGGACAAACAGAAACCTGCAATGACAGATTGCCAATTAAATATAATATAATTAAATATCCTATAGGATCTTCTGGATCATAGAAACCCAGTCCCGGGTGTGATGCTGAGACTGCAGCATCAACACGAAACTCTCACGACTTGGATTTTTCCACTTCCCCTTCAGTGCGGTATCCCCAGACTTTATCTTTGGGTCTGCAGGCATGCCTTGAGCGACGCCTTATCCTCTAGCATTGTTTTGGTTCATTACCCCAACACACACACACACTCACACACTCTGCAAAGTGGCGTTCATCAGAGTGGTCATGCCAGTGAAGAGCAAGACTGACAATTGGCGTGTTCCTGGAGTGTACAAAAACAACAAGCACAAACATGAGGTATGCAACAACATACGATGGCATGCTTCAATTGTTTTCTGGTGCGGCTTTGCAGGAAAATTAGATAACATTAGGATGTTTGAGAACACAAGGGTCCAAAATCAAAACAATACTGCCATGTTTCGTTCACCCAGGGTGTGAAGATGTGTGAGGAGGACTATTCGGGTCAAACTGACACCTGGAGCACTTTCCCTCACTCCGTTGTGCATCAATAAGTGTATCCAAACAATGAAATGCATTGAAATGCGGTATATTCATGTCTATTCAGTGTTTATTCGAGATGCTTATGCTTGCAACAAGCGAAGAACTTAGTAGTGCAGTGCATGTCAGCTTCAACATCGCCTCTGGTGCAAAGGAGCTCGGCAAAGACTAGCACTGGCACCACAAAGGGAATGTAACCTGAGTGGTACCGAGCTGTGTCCAGCTTAGGCCACGGCGCTGAGCTGTTGACTTGGGCATGTCATGGCATGTCTGACGCCACTGCCAGGACACTCAGGACACATATATAGAGCCATGAGAAGATCACTATACAACATGCCAACTTTTCCAACACACTGTGAAAAACAGTACTCACATCATCTCATATAATCTCGCATATAAACGTATTATCCATGTATGTATGATCTTCTTCCTCAGCGATTTTAGGATACATGCCACATGTCAAAAGAGAAGCCGGCAACCAGACGATTTGGTAAATATATGATCTGATCTTGCATTCTAATGTATTCCATACATTTCTATACGCACACATACGCACACAAGAATGCACCCATAAATCGTGCACACATCTCGAAGTCTATCTTCAACAAACGGAGGCAGCAATTCATAGCCCACCCACCTGCAACTTGCCTCACTTGTTGAGAAATAACATTCCGATCCCACAATCTGACAGAATGCCAAATTACTCCAAATTACTGCCTCGATAGAGACCCTGGACAGCATGGGGCAACATGGGACAACTGGACAATGACTTGCACAGGGAAAGATGAAAGATCACGGATGCCCATTTGATCGCCCCTTTGAGCCACCAGCTAAATCAGCCCAGCAACTATAAACGACGGCAACCCAATCAATGAAGCGAGCATCGTTGGGTAAGGTCACGTCTCCAGGCAAGCGCCTGTGTAAACTTGCAAGCATCGGTGCTCAATAGGCTGTAAGCTCCAAACAGACAACGTTGAAAACTGCTGGCATCTTCACCAAGACCGTGCCATGCCGTCATGGCGTGCCTGCCATAGGGACAGCCCTCAAAGCCAACTGTGGCATTATACCTCGGCATGAAACACTCCCCACAGTTCTGTGCATTCAAATGGCTTCCGGTCACACAAAGAGCATGCTCGCGCTAGTTGTATAAAGAGCATTTGGTAGCATGTGATGTGCAAAAGCTCTTTCAGAGTGGAACCCTAACACCCTTTGCACGTCTTTGTACTGGACAAACCTTGCACATGTTTGATATGTTGCACATGTTTACCAGTGCCTTCGAGTACCTTTGTTTTACTATGTTTTACCAGACGAGTTCCAAAAGGTCCTCACTTTCCGACCTGAGGCCAGTGCCACCACGGGATGCATTCCTCCCTCATGCTGAACTCAATGAGTTCAAAGCGGCACGGGCAGATCACTTGAAAACTTGCTTTGTTACGGCATTGTCTCATTTTCTTTCACAGTTTCCCATAGTTCCCCCAGAATCCACATGCATCTCTTTATTCTCTTTGTGTGCGTGAAGGTGGCTTCCATCTCAAGACCTGATGCATCATGAAATTTCATGAACCAACATGATTAAGATTAACCATGATATATTAAGATGAATCTTTGGTGTATTGGGTTGTGAATTCTTTGGGCCAATTAATCTCCGTGACTTTTGATGGTGCCTGCTTATGTGTCTACCATTCCAATGCTGGCTCTGAAGCCAAATTAGACATATCAAGAATGGCAAACAAAAATGATAAAAAACAAACACTGAAGAAACAGAATGGCAAACTGCACCATTGAGAAGATTTGGTAGAAACATGATGGCACGACAAACAGCAATCTACTTAACCAGGGTTCTTGGTGGTTTTTGCATGCTTCAGGGATGAGATTTAGAAAGTACAAGTCCCACGGTTCACCAAGAAATTTGAAGCTGAAACATTTTGGGCGAAAGCTCAACGGAGCCGGAGCGGAGAAGATTTTGATTTCTCAACTCTTTGCAAAGTCTGTTCACATCCGCGCACATTTATAGTATCGTCAGATTGCTTTGCAAGACTAGCCCAAATGTTGAGAAATCAATGGACGGACTGCTCTGAAAGTTGATCGATGTGTGGTGGGTCGCTAAATCTGACACTTCTCAAAGGCACAACAGCGTGGTTTGCTTCCAGCAGTCTGGCAGCAGTCTTATCGCAACAAACAGCGCCTTGAAACACATGGGTCCACAACGATCGTGAAACATGCAACCGGAACGAATCCCACCATATCTGTCTCGCACTGGTTTCTTGGGTTTCTGACAGCCACTTCGTTTCTGAATACAGATTCAGGAGATAGCAAAATGCAACAAGGCACTTGGTACTTGCATTTCTTGATGCTATCTTTTCCAGACCCTGATACCAGTGGACCTAAACGTGTCTGTCCTATGCTCTCAGGATCTCTCAAGTATTCTCAGGTCGTCCTCTTAGAGGAACCTTTCGATGCGAAAACCGTCTGTCTGGTGCGATGCTATGGTAGGTACGACCAGACAATCCAGCGTCAAAATTATTGAGCCATAAACGTTTTGGATTGAGGGTCATGTGCTTTACATTGAGGTTTGAAATGGTACGTATGTAATATCATGGTACTGACATGTACTGACTCCATATATTCTGTATTGTACTTACACTCGTGCATAACATGCTGCATCATAATGATACTACTACATATACAAAAAATACTATTATATATATAATATATAATGTGCAATGTTCATTGAAATTTGATCTAAGGACTTGAGATTATGAAGGTCATACAGCGCTGCGCCTCAATTCTTGCGCAGCCACGGATGTTGCAAAAGTCTCTTGGCCTCAGCGTGGAAACTTGATCCAACGACTTATCAACAAAGGCATTACAACAATTTACAAACCGCATACTTTCGGAAGCCTTTCGGAAGCCTTCGAACGACTTCCTGACCGCATCCTAAGGTCGCAGTCTGCCGAGATTGGCATTCCGCATCGGTCATCGGTCCATTCCTTTAAATCGCTCACCCTGGCGAACTTATTAAGCCAAGAAACTGTGTATCGCTCAGCTGCTGTGCATCGCAGGCAACCATCGTACAAAAAACTTCGAGCCTCGTTCGAGGTCTCTTGTTCCTGAAACTAAAACACAAGCGATTTCATATGATTTTCACCTGTAGACTGTTGTGCTGACTCGTTTTCTCACTGAATTGCATACTTGAGGCCAAAGGGAAGGGGACAAAAACTGCGACCTTTTGAATGTCATTTTTGGAACTGAAATCATTCGATGTTCCTGACACGCTAACAGCAGCCTATCATGGTATTCTAGCTCACATGCACAACCCTCCCCCTGACATCCTAGCATACCAGCGTCAACATTACGCTCCGAGTACTGTACTTGCCAAATACAAAGTGCCCCAACCAAACGCGCTTCGGTTGAGCCACTTTGCAATCATCAGATTGAACCTCTTTCCCTTGGGTTTTCCTTCCTTGTTCCTGTCCGTGACATATATACGTATATTGTCTATGATGAATATACCAAAGTATCTCCATAGTATATAATCCCCGTCTGGTGTGGCCCTCAGGGTCAGGCCCCAGTTTTATCATATTTTATCATGCTAAGATTCCTGGACTGACATCAAAGATCGTCAAAAAGCAACCAACACATACATCCAGTACCCCCCCCGGGTGAAGGCTAAAATTCAGGCTCCAGCCCAAAAAAAAAAAGAATTTAAACGGCCAACATAGCCAAATCCCAGATGATAAAACTCAGGGTTACAAGGTCTATGGAGCCAATGAATTTGCAGTTCCACGAGCTGCAACAAAAAACGACATAAACAATATACTATATACAAATATATTTATTCATTCATTCATTCATTCATTTATTTATTTATTTATTTTATCTATTTATTTATTTATATACTTATTCATATATATATATATTTATATTTATAATTTTCGTTTTGTGGCGTGAATCTGCTGAGCTGAGCATGCCAGGGCTGCTCTTGGACTGCAGCGGTTCAAATGGTTTTTGCATTTCGTTTGCCTTTTTTTGAACGTTGTGAACACATGATTGTTGAGTTCTAGTTTCTTGTTCAAGAATCAAGAACTGATAGCTATTCTTTTGTTCCCTTCAAACCCTCTGAAAGTATCCTCCCGCAATGAGGGCCACCTGGCCAGTTCACGCACAAACACACCACCATGGCATGGACATGTTAAGCCGAAGAAGTTCAACCAACCCACTTTCCTCAAATTACACCTCAATTTCAAGAAATTTATCCCGGAACCGTGGCGCCGGATTCGGCAACGAGTTTTTTGCATACGCCGTTAAAGCTTCAAAAGGAACTGAAAATGTATTGCCACATATTGCCGCATCCTAAACTGCCGGAAGTTCGACATGCTATATAATTCATTTTTATATGTTCTTTGAAAAATGTGCGACAAAATGTGCTAGTTTTTCATTTGGTTCAAGCCTACCTGCTGACTGTCTCTTCAGCCAAATGACGAGCTCACACACAGACACGCCAACATGGCATGGACACGTTAAGCCGAAGACATTCAGCCAGCCCACCTTCCTTAGATTCACCTTTAGTTTCTGTTTAAGTTTTGATATGGCAATATACCGGCCCTTTGTTAATTTCAAACCACGTATGCAAATCTAGCGTCGAACAAAATGCTACTTTCAGAAGCTAAGCTTAAACCAAAGGACAGTTGAACCAAAAGAAAAACGATATAGCACATTTGTTCGCCTGTTCTTTCAACGAAAAAAATGAATTAGCATGCCGAACTTCAGGCAGTTTCGGATGTGGCATGATGTGGCAATACATGGTCAGTTCCTTTTGAAACTTTAACGGTGAATGCAACCTGAGCATGGGGGAACGAAAGCCAGCACCCCATCTACCCCTATTTTCCCCAAAGGATTTTTCACCCACAGACTTTTCACCCATATACTTTTCACCCACAGACTCTTCACCCAGAAACTCTTCTTGCACATACTTTTCACCCATATACTTTTAACCCAGAGACTCTTCAACCAGAAACTCTTCTCGCACATACTTTTTACCCAATACTTTTTACCCAGAGACTCTTCAACCAGAAACTCTTCTTGCACATAACCCATATACTTTTCACCCAGGGACTCTTCACCCAGAAACTCTTCTTGCACAGACTTTTCACCCAGAAACTCTTCTTGCACATACTTTTCACCCATATACTTTTTACCCAGAGACTCTTCACCCAGAAACTCTTCTTGCACATACATTTCACCCATATACTTTTCACCCAGAGACTCTTCACCCAGAAACTCTTCTTGCACATACTTTTCACCCATATACTTTCACCCAGAGATTCTTCACCCAGAAACTCTCCTTGCACAGACTTTTCACCCAGAGACTCTTCTTGCACATACTTTTCGCCCATATACTTTTTACCCAGAACTCTTTACCCAGAAACTCTTCTTGCACATACTTTTCACCCATATACTTTTCACCCAGAGACTCTTCACCCAGAAACTCTTCTTGCACACACTTTTCACCCATATACTTTTCACCCAGAGACTCTTCACCCAGAAACTCTTCTTGCACATACTTTTCACCCATATACTTTTCACCCATAGACTCTTCACCCAGAAACTCTTCTCGCACATACTTTTCACCCATATACTTTTCACCCAGAGACTCTTCACCCAGAAACTCTTCTTGACTTTTCACCCAGACATACTTTTCACCCATATACTTTTCACCCAGAGACTCTTCTTGCACCTACTTTTCACCCATATACTTTTCACCCAGAGACTCTTCACAGAAACTCTTCTTGCACAGACTTTTCACCCATATACTTCTTGCACACCCAGAGACTTTCACCAGAAACTCTTCTGCACATACTTTCACCATATACTTCACCCAGAAACTTTTCTTCACCCATATACTTTCACCCAGAGACTCTTCACCAAGAAACTCTTCTTGCACATACTTGTCACCCAGAGACTCTTCACTCAGAAACTCTTCTTGCACAGACTCTTCACCCAGGAACTCTTCTTGTACATACTTTTCACCCAGAGACTCTTCACCCAGAAACTCTTCACCCAGAAACTGTTCTTGCACATACTTTTCACCCATATACTTTTCACCCAGAGACTCTTCATCCAGAAACTCTTCTTGCACATACTTTTCACCCATATACTTTTCACCCAGAGACTCTTCACCAAGAAACTCTTCTTGCACATACTTGTCACCCAGAGACTCTTCACTCAGAAACTCTTCTTGCACAGACTTTTCACCCAGAGACTCTTCACCAAGAAACTCTTCTTGCACATACTTGTCACCCAGAGACTCTTCACTCAGAAACTCTTCTTGCACAGACTTTTCACCCAGGGACTCTTCACCCAGAAACTCTTCAAGTCAGTTGCTGAAGCGCAACCTCCAAGGCAAAAACGGCCTGAGCAATGGTGAGCGCTAAAAACACAGTACCTGCGCCTGTCTTCAGACAGACACACACCCCCTCCACTACACGCAACACGCCTGAAGAAGAGGCTGCCTTCCTTCCATTGCGTTCGTGCTGCTAGGGACTTTTCGGTGTTGAGAGATTCTCAGCTCCATGTCCATGCATTCCAAGACGCTTTGTTCTGCACAGTGTTTGTGGGTCGTCACGTGGTGGTTTATCCAACAGTTGTGCAGCTGGATCAGCTGTCCAGAGAATCAGGGTACACCCTTGAGACTGGTCAGTGCCTGTCAGACTGTCAGTGAAACAGGCGGCTAGAATAGCACTCGGTTTGTAGCCTGTGCCGGACTGTCTCATGGTTTCGTGAAAATACACGTATCGCACCTGAAGAAGAGGCTGCCTTTCTCCCTTTGCATCCATGCTGCGAAGGGATTCTCTCCATGTCCACACCATTCCACGACACTTTGTTCCGCAAAGCCCATACATACCATGCATTACAAACATACCATACATTACATTACATCACATTACATTACATACATTACATTACATTACATACATTACATTACATACATTACATTACATACATTACATACATACATTACATACATACATTACATACATTACATACATACATTACATACGTACATTACATACATACCATACATTACATACATACCATACAATACATACATACCATACGTTACATACCATACATTACATACATACCATACATTACATACATACCATACATACCAAACATTACATACATACAGACATACATACAGACATACATACATACATCCATACATACACACATACGTACATACATTACATACATTGGATACATACCATACATACCAAACATTTCATATATACATACGTACGTACGTACGTACGTATGTACGTACGTACAATACATACATACATACATACAGACAGACAGACAGACATACAGACATACATACAGTACATGCAGTACATACATACCATACATACCATACATACCATACGTACCATACGTGCCAAAAAATACATTGCATTACATCAGATTACTTTACAATACATTACATTACGTACATACATTACATACATTGAATCTATACATACATACAGACAGACAGACATACATTACATACATACATACATACATACAGACATACATACAGACAGACATACATTACATTACATTACATGACATTACATTACACACATACATACATACATACATACATTACATACACGCATACATACATACATGCATACATGCATACATGCATACATGCATACATACATACATGCATACACACATACATACATACATTCATTCATACATACATAGATACATACATACAAACATAACATAAAATAACAGAATATAACAAAACATAACATGCAATAACATTACATACATACATACATACATACATACATACCTACCTACATACCTACCTACCTACATACATACAGACAGACATACATACTAACAACGATTCATACATTACATTGCACTACATCACATCATATTACATTAGATTACATTACACTACATTAGGTTAGGTTAGATTACATTACATTACATTACATTACATACATACATACATACAAACATACGATACAATACAATACAGTACAGTACAGTACAGGGCAGGGCAGTACAGTACATTACAGTACAGTACAGTACATACATACCATACATACCATACATACCATAAATTACATTACATTACATTACATAACATAACATGACATAACATTACATTACATACATTACATTACATTAAATTATGTTGCGTTACGTTACATTACGTTACATGACATGGCATTACATTACATTCATTACAAAACTTACATACATTACATGCATTACATACATTACATTCATTACATACACTACATACATTGCGTCCATTACATGCATTGCATACATTACATACATTACATACATTACAAAAATTACATACACACCATACATTACATACATACCATACATTACATACATACCATACATTACATTCATACCATACGTTACATACCATACACTACATACATACCATACATTACATACATACCATGCATACCATACATACCATACATTACATTACATTACATTACGTTACATTACGTTACATTATATACAGTACAGTACAGTACAGTACAGTACAGTACAGTACAGTACATACATACCATACATACCATACATACCATAAATTACATTACATTACATTTCATTACGTTACATTACATACATACATCACAGAAGTTTTAGGAGGGTTTGCCAGGGGGGTAGCTGCAAAATGGCATGGATACCCTCACAAATAGGCAGGAATCTACATAAACTTAAATAAAGCTAAATAAAGTTAAATAAATCTTAAGTAACCTGAAATAAAGCTAAATAAAGCTAAATAAGGATAAATAAGGATAAATAAGGATAAATAAAGCTAAATTAAGTTAAATAAACTTAAATAAAGATAGCCACTTTCGTCACATGAATAAACCTCCGAAAACCATGATTTTTCATGTTTTTGATGAAAAAACAAAGATGGAAGTTGATGCACAGTACATCTTTATAAAATCAACTGGTGTCTCTGAAACCCTTTGCCTTCAGCCACACCGGCAATGTTGGATGTTTTCCTTCTCTCGTCCCTTGCACTCCAGTTAAACAGTAAACGCTTCTGACGGATTCCGAGTCAGGTTCTCCTGTTTTTGATGCAAAGTGTTATAGGTAGATGCTGCTCTATCAAGCAAGATGGCTAAGTAACATATCAGCGAGCACCGGATGACGATGCTGCTCCAGAACCTGTTGCTGGCGCAACTGCATGCCGAATGCCTGTTTCAGGCGTGAACTGCGACAAAACACGATCAATTGCTTTGTCGGTGGGCCTTAGCCAGACTGAAAGGTGCAACTCACACATTTCAAATCAACTACTCCCAAATACCCCCCAAACATAGGTTAGTTTATGCATATAGCCAGGAAGTCAAATGGGAAAACTTGATGCAACAGCTTTGACAAACAAGAAACTCCATCTGATCCTTATGCTTGGGATTGCGTTCATGGTGACATTGCCAAAGAAACGTTTACTACAGCAAAGCGACTTGTAGTAGGTCAAGTAGAGCAGGATGCCCAAGCCAATGTCCGAGTCAATGGTTATGCCGCCCACCGGAGTGGGGAACCAAACCAACCAGGTAGATGCGCTCTTCCAGCGTCTAGACGTCGGACTCAGCCGCGATGTAGGACCACCGTACGCCCTGGGTAGAGCGTACGGCTGATAACCTGTGAATGGGCCCTGTTGCCTCTTGTGAATTTGTAATCGGTATAGGATATGAAGTAGTCCCCCTTTCAACCACCAACGGAGCGGCAGCGACGTTCTTTCTCTCACATACGCGGTCAGGTGTCTTGAGCCATGTGCGGCGGTTAGAAAAGAATGTTACTGCAGCGCGGCTATGACCACATGCAATGTCTGTACCATGCAAAGTGATGTCTGGTCAGCGCTATATTCGCAGCATTAGTTTAATTTCCATTGCATTAGATTAGATTAAATTAGATTGCCTTACATTGGGGGGAGGGGGGGTCACAGTTCGACATGATTAATCATGCCGAACAGGGGGGGCCCAAAACAAGTTCGACATGAAAAATCATGGCAGCTGCGTCCAGTCTGCCCCCCAATTTATTGCTAAAGCAAATCCAACTCCAGCTAGCAAGCTAGCTTTTGTGATCATGAACTTATATGAACTTGGCGCTCGCCCTACCTGTCCCTTTACCAACCCAAACCAATCAGCGCACGTTGAATACCGACTCGATTCAGCCATTTGTGGGTCGGCCACCTACTGCTACAATTTGGCAGAATACAAGCAAGTATCATAGCATACTATGATTATTGCATGCAGCACTGCCTGCAAAACATCTGGAAGAAAACGTCCTCAACTTTCAGCTTCCCAGGGCAACGCCCCGTCTTCGCACGACATTCTTCAGGATGGGGGAAGTTCCCCGGCAAGATCCTTAAAGTAATCTCCATACACCCCAGAACCTCCAACCTTTGTTGTTTAGTGAAACCGTTCTTAATTAGTGAAACCTCTCCTAATCAACCTATCTTATTTAAGAGAGATTGCCTTAATTAAGAGTTTTCCTGTCTTCACTTAGAAAATCATCTTTAATTAAGGTAATCAAAGGAAGTTTAGAAGTCAAACTTCCGACAATATGGACAGATGAAAAGCAGAGCAGGGAAAAGGCAGAGAGAAGAGAAAGATTAGAAGAAAGAAGAGTAGAAGAGAAAGAGTAAGAAGAAAGAAGATGCAGATGCGAGAAAAGGTAGGAAAGTCGCGAAACACTGCGTTTTTCCAATGATTTGGGGCTCCGGAGGGTCGAAAACTAGGCTCGCTAAAGCGGCGGGTGCGGACCACTTTTGGCAGTTGAGATGTCGAAAAAGTGCACGCCGTTGTGGCGCGGAGCACATTTCGAAGTCAAAATGTACAAAACACTACGGGTGCGGACCACTTTTGGCAGTTGAGATGTCGAAAAAGAGCACTCCGCTGTGGCGCGAAGCACATTTCGAAGTCAAAATGTACAAAACACCACATGTTCGTTCCGATGTGGAAAAAGTGCACACCATTGTGGCGCGAAGCACATTTCGAAGTGAAAATTAATGTACAAAAACCAAATGTTCGCGGCACTTTTGGAGGTTCAGATGTCGTTTCGCGTGGCAGGCGCAAGGGGTTGTGCACTTTGTCAAGAATGAGCAAAACGTGAGGGTTTTGTCGCATTTCCAAAAACCATGGTAGGCGTGGGGCATTTGAAGAGGGTCTGCAAAGATGCATTTTCCGAGGTTTCTTAGTTTTTGATCTTACCGATAGATAGATAGATAGATGGATAGATAGACAGACAGACAGACAGACAAACAGAGAGAGAGAGAGATAGATAGATAGATAGATAGAAAGATAGATAGATAGATAGGTAGATAGATAGATAGACAGATAGATAGATAGACAGATAGACAGATAGATAGACAGATAGATAGAAAGATAGATAGATAGAAAGATAGATAGATAGATGGATAGAGAGATAGATAGACAGACAGACAGACAGACAGAGAGATAGAGAAATAGATAGATAGATAGATAGATAGATAGATAATGATAGATAGATAGATAGATAGATAGATAGATAGATAGACAGATAGATAGAAAGATAGATAGATGGATACACAGATAGACAGATAGATAGATAGATAGATAGAAAGAAAGAAAGAAAGAAAGAAAGAAAGAAAGAAACATAGATAGGTAGATGGATAAATTTAAATAGATAGATAGATAGATGGATGGATAGATAGATAGATAGGTAAGTAGGTAGATAGATAGATAAGATCGATAGATACATAGGTAGATAGATAGGATCGATAGATACATAGGTAGATAGATAGGTAGGTAGGTAGATAGTCAGAGCAAGAGAGAGAAAGAGCGGAGACATCAATCACCTTTCGATCCATCAGTGGCTTCGCTCTGCCATCCGTGATTCACAACAACCGACCTTTCCTATAGGTTTCCTATTTTTGAAACTTCCGCCACTGCCTTGTGCGGTACTACTGGTATTTAAGAAAGGTTCTGCTATTTAAGGAACGTTTGCTTAATTAGGAAAGGCTTCTTAATTGCAAATTAAGGAGGTAGAAGGGGAAAAGTGCGAAAAAAAAAAAGGTTTTGGCGGATGTTGCATTCACAGAAGAAGGTAACCAGCTGCAACTTTTTTCATATTTCAGAAAATTTTGAATTTTTGTTGAAAAATATGTTTAACTGTTTATTTTTCTCTGTTTTTTTTTCAAATAATATTTATATTTTTATTATTTTTTAAAAAAATAAATTTAAAAAAATGAAAAATGTATATATATATATATTTAAATTTAATTTTTTTTGATTTTTTTTCAAAATAAGATTTTTAAAAAATAAAAATTAAGAATTTTAGTTTGAAGAAATTTTGTACACTGAAGCCTTTCAACCAACATATTACTGTGTACCAAAAAAAGCTACAAGTGGCATCAATGTACCCCATATATTGTCAAAAAATAAGGTCGTGGAAACACCTACAAAAAACCTTCCTTAATTAAAGAAGGTAACAGTCTTCCTTAATTAAGCTAGCCTTCCTTAAATAATTTAAGAGAGGTTACCTTAAATGTTAAATAAAGGAGGTTGGAGGTTCTGGGACCTTTGCCCGATGCTCATCGCATCCCATTGCATTCAGAGTATCCACGATTGGGCGTTCACCGCGCTCTGTGAGCTTTCCAATTTGATGTGCAGCAGCCAATGCGTTGTCAGCTGTCACCTGCAACCAAATGCCACCAATCGAAATTTCCTGCTGACTCTGGCGAGTTGAATTGCTATACTATGATCGTTTGAATTTGGAACCAGCTAAATTCCTGTCTGCATAGGATGATGTGAAACACACCTGCAAACCCTGATGGGATTAGCATGTTTTGCAGTGCAGCTGGACAATACTACCAGCAGATTGGACATGACGTCCGATTCACTCTACTACACCAAGTTGTGAGTTGCAGCAAATCGTCTGATCAGTGTACGACCGCTGTACAGAGTTTGACTCAAAATGACAGTATTGTCATCTGTTGGTGCGAATCAGCACTGACTTTGTATTCGTTGTCTGTTCAGAGTACTGACAATGTATTGATAATTTGCACAGGGCACCTGCTTTACCCATGGTCGACTTGCGGTCAGCAATTCTACTGTTGCACAGCCAAAGGACCAAATGTCAGCCTTGGTATCACTGAACAGGCACGGCGTTGAAGAGGATGGATGAGAGATGATGTGAGATGAATTGGGGGAGTATATACTCACTCTAAAGTTAATGATGAGTTTGCTGGAAGACTCCATAAAAACCCGCGATGGAATCTTGTCATAGAGACAATTGGAGGCTTGTGGCACCCACAAAAAAGCCTTCAGGAAGCCTGATTGGTTCTTCTTGTAATTTGCTCTATCGGAACCGCTTGTTCTTACTGATCCTTTCACGACTTGTTTGTTTTAGCCGGGGAAATCTGGACAATCTGCACTTCCACTCGCGACAAGTGGGCAAATTAAGTGAAATGCTCCAAGCAAGTCATTTTCTTGATTCTATTGATGCATTTTGCCGATTCCTTTCTTATCCGAGTCACACTTTGATCATAAGGCGCACCAACCAGGAGTTCAGGCGGAAGCCTATCCAAATCTTCGCTGGCGCAAGTCGAAAGCAAGAACAACTATTGAGCATTCCGCAAATCCCATACTGAAAAACAATGTATATGTGGTGTACTCTGAGGTCCTACTAGTACGTGTACTATCGTGTACTAGTACTAGATTCCACTGATGTATGATTCTGTATGATGTACTTCTCCATCTACAAACCCCGAACTCTGAACCGAGCGACATTGATCATCTCACTGGCACCATTGGACCATGACCCAAACATTCAAATGACAAAGAAAAAGTAGCTAAGTAATGCTAAGTAATGCTAAGTAATGCTAAGTAATGCTAAGTAATGCTAAGTAATGCTAAGTAATGCTAAGTAATGCTAAGTAATGCTAAGTAATGCTAAGTATCTTTCTGGGAAACAATCTTTGAAGTTGAGACAATCTACTTCTCTGATCTCTTCCAACACTCATGCTTCATCAATACCCTTCTGCAATCAAATAAAACATGATACAACTCTTCTCATAGACGAACATCTGTGTCATATATATAGATATAAATATTAATGATATTTATTAGCCGTAATCGCAATATATCGCAATCAATCGCACTAAGAACTTCCCAGGCACCAGAAAGGGCTTCCGACCAAAGACTTTGCCAGGTCTTCTTTGGAGATCCAGCGGGAGCCTGCACTCCAGAGAACATTCGAAAGAAACGGGGAACGCCCAGCTCAGCACTTCTCTGGCTTCCAAAATTGCAGGATCCCAGGGCGGGAAAACTGTATAGAAATGCTGGTGGATCAATGAATATATATAGATATGAATAGTATCGTAATATATCTTAATGATTCTTAATGTGTTGTAGAAAAACTGTTTTTTCCGTCTTGCTCTAGGCGTCGTGATCTTTCTTGCTCTTATTTAATTTTGCTTCTGCAACAATTTCAACCTACTTGCATCATTCTAATCTCCGAAATACCGAAAGAACGGGCAGTTGAAGTGCAATTAGGGTTGTACTAAAAGACAACAAATCGATGGGTATAAATCTTATGTACTTCAAACATCCTGCTTCGTTTCACCACAGCAAAGTTAGAGACAACCAAGGAAGGACCATTGACGTTTCTTTCTCTGGGTATGAAAGCCAATAATTGCAAGACTGCTCGTCCAGGAAACAGAAGGGCTTATGGACGTGGGCGCCTTGCAAAGGTATCAGGAAGAGCTTGAAAGATCATGAAACAACATTGGTGAACGTATCTCTTGAGGAGCTGTGTTCGTTTCCCTGAGAATTTTATCTGCCAACTGCCAAGGAACAACCAAAATCCGATATCTTTACCTTGGTGCAAGGCATATCCTTTGGATAAAGATCGGACAAACAGGGACACTGATGGACACTGCGACATATTGCGACATACCGCGACACTCTTCACATCTCGCATGATGCTTCGCTGCGTGCAGCGCATTTCACAGCCAAGCGACTCGCCCAGAGACGTCGAGCAAAAGATTGCTGCACTTTAAATCCCGGTGCATCACCTATCATGGAAGATATGATAGATATGAAAGCATTGGGAATCAACAAATATGGTTGCAAAGGCCAAAAAACAAACCAAATGCATCCAAATGCCACTTGTTGGTTCATCATATTGTTTACTTATGTTTTGGCAAACACACATTACACTCTGGAAAATCTATGAAATCCTGGTAACGGATTAATCTCAAGCTGAATTGAGAACAAATGAGCTACTCAACTTTGCATATGTATGTGTTTACGTTTGAAATTCAACACATTGATCATCTCGAGTGCGTGGAACAAACCCAACCACGATGCCAGGGCTGCACTTTGGTGTCCCCTGATATTTGCAAGCTCTGCGTCTCACAAAATGAAACAATAATGATGCAAAACCAATTCGGCACTGAAGTCATTGGATCTAATCATCTGTACATTCCTGTACACACGCGCTGTCTTGTGTGTGGACATGTGTGAAGCGTGCGCCTGCTGGTCATGAAGATAGGCCAAGCCATTTAGCACTTGCTCACAAAGGGCTGCGCAAAGCTCCTGAGGTGCGGCAATTCTTTGCGCTGAGCAAGTATTTGAGTCGATTCGAATTAGCAACAGAACGTCAGCACATTGCTGTGCCACTGCCACAGAATTACTCCCGTACATCAGCTCATAAAAAACATCTGTACGCTTGCCCTGGCATCAGCGTTACGACAGGAATGATGGAACTGACCTCTTCATCTGAACCTGCCTCTGAATATCACCAAGTATCTTCTTGGAAGGCACCAAACTCGTCAATTTTATCTTTGAGGGTTCCTGCCAGATCAAATCAAAATCCTCAACAAAATTCATCAAATATTATCACATATCAATTTAGACCTCAAGCAGGATCCAGCAAAAAATCTGCAGGCCTGCTGCACAGCGAGGTCTAACAACAAACAACATTGACTAGCGGTCGCCAGCATATCCAACATACAGAACCAAATCTTCAGCAGGTGCGCCAACATCTGGCAAATGCTACCTGCCTTCTGGCATGTATTCGAGGAAAATATACAGCTGCTTGTCGTGAACTTCATGTCCCAGATAGCTGACCTTGGAAAAAGATGGAAAAGGAAAAGTCACCATGGGCTTGACTGGGCTTGTGCGGCTGGCAAAGTTTATCCGACTATTCAAGGCTAATTGCCGTCACAGTGCATAGAACGACAATTCTTTGGACCTTCAGAGTTCAGAAACCTTTCACGTCAGATGCAAGCATGCTTTGCTTGTACCAGTAGGGAAAACCTTTGGAAGATCTTGGAAGCACTAAGCTTCCTGCAATGTGCTCATGGGAGATTGACCTCGAAATGCATGACGTGCAGCAACTGCCATAAGTTGGGTTGAATAAAATTGAATACCTCTCTCTCTCTCTCCAAAGCTGATACATTCATATACTTTCGACACCGTCAATGCCGTGAAATTCACTCGGAGATCTTTCAATTCATTCGGCTAAGGTCCCTGGCTGCAACAGTTCCAACTCCTGGTGCAACTCCTTTGAGTCTTCGAGCACTTTCACCGCAAAGGACTCGCCTCACAAAACGCTCCAACGACTCCAACGACTCAAACATCGTAAGGACAATGTAAGGACAATGTAAGGACGTCATGCTCGACACCCTATGCAAAAGGCAACCTTTAGCAATTGCTTAGCCGTGCTGTCATGCACAGCTGCCGCTCTTCTCAGATTCATGATAAGACTTCGATCTTTTGACATTGGACAATCTTGGCATAAGCGTCACAAGATTTCAGAAGCAATACCTTGGATTCCGCGAAACTTTTGGATCCTGTGGGCCTCTGAGATCTCTATCTGTAGAGGTGGATTAGAACGTTCTCAGCTCGAACAATGGAGCACCACAACTGACACGACAGCAACCGACAGCCATAGCATGCCTGACACAGAGTCTAAAGCTTTGTAGACTACACCTTGAGCTCCTTGACCGATGACCTGGTCGTCAAAACAGCATGTCTAGGTTTTTGCATGACAGCGCTTCCAAGATGCTTTCACTCATTGTGACAATGTCTTGACAGGACGCACAGGAACAACTCACAGCAGACCATATCAGACCATCTATTTTCAGCAAGTGCATGACATCCATTTTCTGAATCTCCAGGGGCAACATACACGACTTACCACGACTTCCAAAAAATCACCAGAACCTCAGCAAACATACTGTAAAAATCAGTAAACCAAATCCAAAGTTCTGCTGGTCCGGCCTTGCCCAATTGCCATGCGCCGCTGATCGAACGTCGCTTTGCATGCAATGTGGACGGCGCCAACAATCTCTGCCTTGACACGCTGGAAATGTCTGGATGTTGCTTGGAACTGGCATTGCTCAGGGCTACTTTGTTTCTATATCTGTTTTCAAACCACACAGGAAAGCAAGTAAAAGCGGTGCCCAACACACTCTACCACAGCCAAACATCTATAGGAAAGTCAATGACCAACCAATGACCAACCTATGTATTTGTTCTGATTGCATGACGTCCATGTTGGATAAATATTGCGACACAAGTCTTTGAAGACAATTCCTGCTTCCACATGTTGGCACCTTTTTGTGTTTCTTTTGACAATGGGGCAGTGAGAAGGGGGCACGGTTGCAGAACCTGAACTGTAAATTCGTACACAGAGTTTACCAAACTTATTTCACGGATAACACATGGGGAAACACAGCCGACACGCACATGATTCGTAGCCTAATCATATTATATATATAATTATATATATATATATATCATAATATGATATAAGAACATGACTTCACTGAAACTTAGTCATTGATCCATTCACAGCAAGGTGCTGGATCTGCTGACGATTTCGAGCTCGTTCGTCCCGAAGTTCTGAAAGAAGACTCCACAGAGAAGACAAGGAGCTTGTGACCTCGTTGCGCATGCAAGGCGGGGTCGCTGCTCGTTGATCCAAGTTTTGGGCCTTGTGATTCATGCTCATAAGATCTCATGAGATGTCATAAGATCTCATAGGATTCATAAGGCTGTTTCAGAGAACAGCAGAACAACCATAGACTCTCTGATTGCCTACTTCAATTAACAAAGATCAAAAGAGACGCTCACCGAGATATCAAAGACCAAACATGCTGAACATATTCCTTCATCTGAACTTTGCAATGGCAACTCTGCATTTATCCAGCTGAATTCAACCTTTGCTGTCTTTTCTTGATTCCAGCAGATGGTGCCGCAGGAAAATTAGGAGGGTATCAGTCCAATTGGTTATTCTGGCCGCTCAATCCCTTTCAGAGCCTGCTAGCAGAGAAGAATCTGAGACTGATGGAGAAGGATTTGAGACTATTTGAGAATAGAGGAGAAAGAGTTGCGACTGCAGCAGGCAGAGAGACTGGTAGCTGCTTGGTAGCTGGTAGATGCTGGTAGCGTGTCTGGGATCTCCCAACTCGTTCTGCAGTCTGTTGGATGCGCAATGGGATCCCTGATCAGGCGCTGAAGCAAAAAGAGGTGCAAACTTGCAGCAACTGATCATTAACTGATCTTGAACACCCTTCGATTTGTTTTAGTCTGTTTCAACGAAGTTCGTTTCGTGCTTCAACAGCTTCCCCAAGAGCTTTCAACTATGAATCGAACTGGATGAAACATGTTGAAACGTTGTGGTGGAGCTGCGTTGCAGTCTCCTTGGCAGAATTCTGCGAGCAAAGGCATGGATGCAAGAGCATTCAGCACCTGGCACTCCGGCTGAAACTTCTAGGCTTGCAATGCATCGCTGTTGTCTTTTCAAACATGATCAATCTACATCGTGAATCTAGCGCCATCGAAATACATACGACTGCCATGCTGATCTCTTGACTCTGAGGTCTATAGCCTGGTGCCTGGTTGAGGTAATTCCTTGTTCTATATGTCCCTAGGCATCCTCAAACTGTGAGGAATGACGCGGCCAGAGGGCTTTGACAGTCTTCTGGAGGCATTCTTAGAGTTTCTTATATGGATGATTTGCCTCTGAACTCTGCCGTTAGGGGTGGCCTCCTCACGCTTTTCCCGCTCCAAGGTGATGGGAACGTCTCCGGTGTCAAGCAAAGAGCGGTCTGCTACCTGTCAGTGAAAGATACGCCAAGCCAGACGCCAAGCCAATTGTCCCACAGAGTCCAACAGTTTCAGCATGTTTCAACATGTTTCAACATGTTTCCAGCAGCTTGGTCAAGCTTCAACAGATCTGTCATGTTAGGTTGGAAGAATTGGCCATGCAATGCACCTTGTTGTAGATGTTGTCTCCATACCATTCTGCGGCCTTTTTCATCCACTCCTCTTTACTTCGCCACAAATCCTGCAAGGTGCGAAGTGTGCAAAAGTGTGCAAAGGTGTGCAAAGGTGTTCGAAAATGTGCAAGATGGCTCAAAAGTACCTCACAAAAAAAAGGAAACTATTGATGGCAGGATTCGGCGTTTGTCACTGCTTCTTGTGCAGTGTATTCACGCAGCACAGGTCACGCACAGATGCTGCATGATGCTGCTTTGTGCACGCCTTCCAGTAGAGATGCCGATGAACTCCTTGGATGCTCTCCATGCATGTCTGTGCTGGCTGCTCAATCTCTCATACTACCAGCTGCCAGCTGGCATAGCGCCACAGGGATGCAAAACGATGCACTAAGATGCACTAAGTATCAAACGAATTCAAACGTCGACTCTGAGACAAACTCGAGACTTCGCTCTAGCTATCTGCCCGAATACTGCACACAACATTACACAACAATACAACACAACAAATCTTTATCATCAGAAACCGAATCAAGGATGGTTTCGGTTTCAGTACAGTACACAAATCATTCATGCGACTACCATGACATCAGTAACAGACATGTCATAAGTTGAGACATGGCACGGTAAAGGAAGAGCTGCGCAGCATCCTTTGGCTGCAACGGCTTCAGCTCCAAATTGTCCGTTTTCAATCCTCCGAAGGAGTTCTGCACCTTCGCTCAGCAGTGATACAAGTGGTCAAAAACAGGGAAACCGCTAACAAGATAATTACCGTGGGTTTCCCACAGAGCCGCTACAAACCACTATATCCACTATCACCAACACCTTACGATACCCCACAAATTGCCCTGCAAGAGACCCCAAACAGAATCAAAGTTGAACATGTGAAAAAACATTGAAAAACGGTGTTACCAGGCGCATTTTCGTCGCGGTCTCTGAAATATAGAGCCTGCCAGGAAAAATGTCCGAAGTATTGCGCCTACCAAGCAAAATCATCATCAATGACGACATTTCACAAAACGAGACTTTGAAGCCTTTCAAAGCACGGTCCACCAAATATTGCGCCTGCCACGAAAAAGAACCTCCGAAACCACAGCTTATTTTGACCTACGCCGCCAATGGTATAGCAGAGTGCACGAAGTACTGCGGCTGCCACGCGGATGCAACAGTGTCGAAAGTCTTGCGCCTGTCATGCAAAACGATGTTCCAGACCTGGAAATGTGGCGGAAGTCTCATGCCTGCCACGAAAAACGTGCATAGCCTAGCTCAAAAAATGAGCACGGCGCCGGTAAAAGTAGACCTTCAGAAGAGAGCAAAACCAGCCACGCGCGTTGCGCGAAGCCGCGCAGTCGAAATGGACACGGACATCTCACAAGGGAACTTTTGCGCGAGCCGGTGCAGTCAAAAGCTGCAGACCAGAAAACGAAGCCTGACCGAACCCGGGCTTTACACCTTCCTTAAGAACTCAGTGTGGACACTTTGGGGAACATTTACACAATGTCAATAAGTCAGCTTGATTCAGCTTGATTCAGCTTGATATGCTCCTGAGATCTGGCACATGAATTCGGCTGCCAAGCAAAATGCACAAGCGCTCAGTGGCATTGAGGACATCTGCCAGCAGAGTCCTTTGCGGTTTTGACTTGCAAAGGATCTGTGGACATCTGTGGACTCGTTTCAGCCGCAATCCTTTACCACTTGAGAACATCTGGAGGCCATAAAGAAATGAAAATCAACGAATTCAAGGAATCTTTGCAGATTGAATAGATTTCAAAACTGCCGCGGCTATGCGGCTATGGTATGCTATGGTTACTGGGTGAGCTGATTCACATCACATCCTGCGATACTTGATGTGACTACCGAGTCCTTTTTCCACGCTGTCAAGCTGTGAAGAATTGCACCAAAGTACAGAAAGACTTAAAAAACGACATAGATTCATAAGTTGAGGAACGGCAAGCAAGCTAATCATTGATATTGTGTGATCTGATATAGATACATTAGTTTACTATATCATATCTCAATTTGTCTCACTATTTATTCTTCTCCAAAATTTCATCTGATCATCAAATGACAAATTGCACCGGCAAAGAAGTCCTCACTGCCATGCTATCCACCCAATCTTCGATCCCATCCTTGCGGCACATCAACACAATCCAAGATACAGAGGATCAAAGAGGATCAAAGAGGATCCCAAAAGATCATAAAATATCATCATTTTAACATATTTTAACATCTTATATATCAACATTTTGACATATTTTGACGGTCTACGACAGTTCATGCTCCAGGAAGCAACATAACAGCCCCCTCATACGATTATGAAGTTGCAGAACACACTTTGACAGGCAAACACAACAGAGGCAAATCTTGAAAGCAAACTGGTCCAAGTAGCATTTGCGCACTGCCAATCTTACTACATCTTGATATACAAAAAGGCTCAGATCGCGTCCAGACGTGAGCCAAATCCAGCCGAGCGGCCAAGACAAGCAGTACACGTCCTCGACACTCCAAGCGCCGCAAGCTCCACAGCAGAGTGGAGTAGCCATCTCCAGACGCCGCAGGCCTGGAAGAGCACCGGAAGCAAAGCACAGCCCCGTTTCATCTCTTGAAATTCACTGACTTCAGGAAAATCAAACATCAACGATCAGATTTGTGATTTGTGTAATATTCATGTCTTATATTGTGTTGTATGTTTGTTTTGAGACTTCTTTTCACATGCGCCCTTCCCACATCACTCCATGGATCTATATGTATACGTATATATAATATACATATTAGATCTACTGGTTTCGTATGGTCTCCTATCTCCTTTGAAGTTGTCGAGGAACGCTTTGCCATCAATCTGCTCCGTGAATCTGGTCCTCAGTTCGCATGATTTCAAGCAGATCCACGGTGATTTCATGTGATTTCTACGTATTTCTGATGTATTTCTGCCTTGCCATACCCTGCCGTTAGAATCCTTTAGGTGCCTTTAGTACCGAGGCAATTTCTTTCCGCCAAGTCTCACAGACGTCAAGACCTGATTCAGCTTTCGGAATGCGTTGGGGACGTGGTCGGGATTTTCATGTGAGGACTTGGGGGCAGAAACAATCAACATGTTCCAGTGCAAAGGACCAGCAAATTGCACACTTTTTATCCTTTAAGCTATCAGGAGTGAAGCACCAAACACTGCGCGCTTTGTTACCATTTTTAGCCAAAAGGAATCAAACAGATATGCTTTCAAACTTCCTGCCGTGGTGTTTGCTACCAAACCAAACACCTATAGTACACACACACACATATATATATATATTGTGAATCTACATCATTGCAACCCCCACAGTGCCATTTCCTTCCAGCTCACGATGCCAGGAATAATCAACAACAAATGTCTTACCACTTGGAGCACATTGGCTCAGGGTCAGCCTTAGGAGAGGGCATAGGGATAGGGAATCGTGCTTGCCATTTTTGCTTACTGGTCTATTGGCGTGGTCGCCATTTGGAACTTAGAGCCTGGGGCTCATTCAGAACTGGAAGGCCTAGTTGGCCAAGCGATTCTTGGTGCCTTGATCCCAAGGCTTTTGCCGCTGTGATCCTTTTTGCGAGGTCTGACAAAACAGTTTGGCCGCGCTGTGGGTTTTGTGCTTTGGAGGTGCTACCAGGTGATCTGACTAATTGTCAATCACACTGGTAGCGGAGCTACCGTTCCGCAACGGAAGATCCAGGTCAGAGTCAAAGTGAAGAACAAGCTGCTCCAACGCAGCGCGAACCAGCTGCACCACCGCAGCGTATGACAGAGTCATCAGAAGGCTCCAATACAGTCCCGAATCAATTGGCAGTTTTGGTACCGTCATTTGATCTCAGCAAGGATGATCTTCAGGTGTATACTCAGAAGGTTGAACTGTTGCTAGAAGCATGGCCATCTACAAAGTACACCGAGCTAGCCACCCGGCTTATACTGAACTGTAGTGGGTCCGCATTCAAGAAATTGCAACTGCATCAATCAGAGATCACTCAGAACGATCGCAAGTCCATTCAGAGGATCATAGAACTGCTCGGAGGACACTGGGGACAAATCCCTTTGGAACGCCGCTACGAGTTTGCAGAAAGAGCCCTGTATAAGTGTGCACAGAAAGGGGATGAAAGCGCTGACAGCTACTTGGCTCGTGCTGACATCATGTGGACAGAGCTGAACAACACCAAGTTCAATGTGAGCGATCTACAAGCCTATGTGACACTTAGGGGTAGCATGCTTTCGGCAGAGGACAAGAAACGTGTCCTCATTGATGCTGATGTGGCTGACAAGGGTGAGTTGACTGTGTCCCGAGTCAGCTCCTCGATTCGCATGTTGGGTGCAGGTTTCTTCCAGGAGATGACAGCAGGTCGCAAAGTCTCCAAACTGAAGACGTATGATCAATCAGCTCTGGCCGCCGAGGACATGGATGGTGCTGAATCCGACCAGCCCACCATGGCCATGGAAGGTATTGAAGATGAAGACCAAATGGTCGAAACGTTAGTGCAGGAGGGAGACGAAGATGCATCTCTGGTGGCAGATTTTGAGGCAGCCGCCGCAGACGTCTTGCAGAACGATGAAGAATTGGCAGCCGCCTTGACTTCTTACCAGGACGCTCGAAGACGCCTCAACGACAAAGTCAGATCCAGAGGTTTCTGGCCCATCTCCAACAAGGGAAAAGGCAAGGGGTTCACCAAGGGCCCAAAAGGCAAGTTTCAGAAAGGACACCCGTCCTCTCGGAAGTCACTTCAACAGAGGATCCTGGAGTCACGATGTCGCCTGTGTGGAAAAGTGGGGCATTGGAAGGCTGAATGCCCCAGCCGATCTGAGAGTACAAGTGCCCATGCTCGAGCTCCACAAGCTCCCACGACGTTTGTGCAGGTATCCCATGCTGAGGTCAATGAGGTTTCCGATGGTCTACCGTTAGAATTTTTGAACTTGCCGCTTCATGCTGAAACCACCATGGATGCCACTCAGCACAATAATCAATTTTCATTTGTAACCACCACCCAGAGTAATCCCAAAGATAACCTGAACAGTTCTCTTCAAGCCTGGAAACATTACCACGATCACCACACTGCCACTGCCAGGAATGAACCGATGAGTGCCCAGATGCGATCCAGATTGGCTGCTCGAGCCCAGCAGCGATTGCACACCAGCAGCCATGACCCATGCAACAGAGCTGAGCCAGATTCCGTGTGTTTTGCATCCCATGGATGTATGGGAATAGTTGATCTCGGTGCCACCAAGACCGTGATAGGCAGCCATTTGGTAAAGGGTTTGTTGGATAACCTTGACCCATGTCTCCGATCACAAGTGTTTAGGTGCCCATGTGTTATCACATTTCGTTTTGGTAATCACGGAATTCTGCAGAGCAAATTTGCATTGGTCATTCCGATTCATGGTTTACAATTGAAGGTTGCCATAGTGCCGGGATCCACTCCGTTTCTTTTGTCCAGTACCTTGCTGAGAGCATTGTGTGCCACCGTTGACACTGAGAACCATGTGATGTTTTCCAGAAAACTCAACCGATCGTTTCCTCTACAGCTCACCAGCAAGGGTTTGTTTCTCCTTGATTTAAATGTACTGGCCCAACAACTACCGGGCCAGAAGACCTTTTTTCCAATGGCAGAAACTCATCCCGCAATTGATGAGCATGACCGGAGCATCCGATCCGAGCCCAAAACTCTGCCAGCTGCTCCACATCAACCCAAGAGCTTGGAAGTTGTCAGAAATCACCGTGAAGCACCAATTCTGAGTGATCAAGTTTCGGAAGTCAGTTATGAACATGCTTCCCAGCGCCCTGATCGGCCCAAGCCATTGCCCCGAGGTTTTCAAACGATCCAACGAAAGTGCCATGACCAGCTTGGCGCAGAGGTTGCTGAACGTGCAGAAGCCAGCCGAGGAAAGTCACCCAGACATCTCTCACCTCACCCTCGGACAGCTGAGAGAGCAGAAGATTGCTTTCGGGAAGGCCCACCAAGGGAAGACTTTCAACCAAATGTGGAAGGAGGAACAAGGCTGGGTCACCTGGTTTGTTCAGAGATTTGCCCAGTCCACCAAAGCCGAACATCGCATTTTCCTGCGTTACGTCGAGCTCGAGATCGAGCGAGCCGAACTCTCAGGGGATCAGGTTCCAGTGAGGAATCAGCAGGAGACCAACAAGCTGATCAACATGGCAGACACACCGCCACAGTCCTCCCAACTGGGAACTGTGGCCAAGGCAAAGGCCAAACCGATGATTCGCCCGACCCCCGAGACCCCGGTCTGGGACTTGGAGGAGGATCCCGATCTCTTCGAGATGATTCCCACCGACACAGGTGTGGTGCAGAACCAACAGATCGAGCACCTCGAGACCAGGATGCTGAATGTGGAGGGCATGCTGAGCAACATCCTTCAGCACCTCGAGAACCTGACAGTGAACCGCTGTACCGAGCAATGAGCAGGGTTGAGTGTCCAAGCATGGCCCATCGTGAGACGGCCGGTGACATGTGCGCAGATTATATGTTCCATACGGATACCCAGACCACTCCTGAATCCAACCGAGAAGCCATCAGATTCAACCAACTTGTAACTCAATACTCAAAGGAATTCTCCAAGGTTTACCATTCCACTGATACTTCAACTTCACGTTTGAACCTGTTGGAAGTGTTTTGCAGCGCACAGAGCCAGTTGACTCACCAGTCTCAGCGCCTTGGATTCCGAGCTGATCGCTTCGGACTGCAGCAAGGGGATCTCCAGACGGCAGATGGCCGGGCAAAATTGTTTCAAACGGTTTGCAGGCATAGGCCGCAGAATGTTTGGTTCAGTCCTAGCTGTGGTCCGTGGAGTGGATTCTCCTGTCTGAACGGCAGTCAGTCCATGCAAGCTTGGGATGCGTTGCAGGAATCACGGATGCGACACTTAGAACAAGTTGCCCTTGGAATTGTGTTACTAAGGTTTCAGCGACAGCAGAATCGACACTTCCATTGGGAACAACCAAGGGGTTCCATCATGTTCAAGTTGCCATATCTTCAAGAAGCGCTGTACTATTTGCTTTCAGTGGATGTTGATTTGTGCACTGCAGGTGAACTGAAGGATCCCGAGAACGGTAAGCTAATCAAAAAGACCCTAACCATCATGACAACATCCAACAACATGGTAAGGTCCCTCATTGGCTTAAGATGCAACAATTTACATGAACACCAGACCGTTGAAGGTAAGACCCATGTTCAAGGAAAAGCCATCAATCGTTCCACTTTCACTGAGAATTATCCCAGAAAGTTTGCCCGCAGATTAGCCATGTTGATGGGAAAAGTCCAAATTCCCCATGAACCTGTGTACAGAAATGAAGCATGGAGTGTCCTTGCAGCCGAAGAGCATCCAGAAGCTCCAGCACCCAAGAGAGTCCGACGTGAGCGTTACACCTCTCTCAAGATCAGCCGAGTCCAGGATGTCTCAAAACTCCCATGGGGAAAACGGCAGAAGTGTGTTGGAAAAACCACCCCGATTGACAGTATGAACTCTTGGAAAAGGATCTTCGAAAAGTTACACCAAGTCTTACCCAGAGTAGGAAAAACCGTAATCCACGATGATGAAATCCTTGAGTCTATTCAAAAGTTGATTCCAGAGAAGAACATACACACACTGATTGCCTGTAGGGGAGCCAGTAGAACTCTTGCCCCACCTGAAACACTAGTCAAGGGTCTTGCACCATTCCGTAGAAGTGTTTTCACTGAAAGAGGGTCTGGGGAGATCCGTGCCGAAGAGGATTGGGAAAACTGGGAAATGCTGGCAAAGCGCAACCTGATTCGTCCATCTCATGCCACCCGAATCAACCTGACGATGTTTGGGAACACCAAAGAGCAGGTGTGTGATGTCCCCAGGAATGAACCCGAGACATCCAATGCAGAGCCATCTGTGCCAGACAACCGGCGCATCAATTCAAGTGCACCCGACAGCCAGGACTGTCTCGAAGAAGCCAATCCTGAAATGTCGCAACACCAAATGGAGACACCATGTTCCGAAGACCTCACTAGTTCCCAGAGAGCAGATGCCGGGAGCCAATCACATGGCACTAGATTCAAGGCTTTACCCCGAGATGAACAGATTTCCTTGATCAGAGCTCACAAAAACCTCGGGCATCCAAGCCCGGAAAAACTTAGCGCTGTCTTGCGATCACAGGGGTACAGAGCCGAAGTAGCCCGTGCTGCACTGGATCTCAAATGTTCTGTGTGCCAGGAACATAGTGTTCCAAAGCTAGCCCGGCCCAGCACTCTGCGTGATGAGGGAGATTTCAATGACCGAGTGTGCATCGATGGTCTACAGTGGACTAACAAGAACGGCAAGTTGTTTCATGTGTATCATGTTGTAGACTGGTCCACAAGTTTTCAAGTTGCCCGAATAGCCCCTGACAGATCATCCGCCACCGCCATCCAGACATTGATCGACATGTGGCTATCGTGGGCAGGGTGTCCTATGGAAATGTTAGTGGATGCTGCTACGGAGCTTAACTCCGAAGAGTTCAGTACGTTTGCCCAGAAACACAACATTCGGGTCACCACTATCAGCCCAGAAGCGCAGTATCAGAATGGGAAAGCCGAAAGACATGGAGCCATACTCAAGACCATGCTAAGTAAATATGATGCTGAACATCCCATAGAACAATATCATGACTTAGCCCAAGCACTTTTTTGGTGTACACAGTCCAAAAATGCAATGAGCTTGAAGCGTGGGTATGCCCCTGAAGTCCATGTACTTGGCAAACATACTCGTCTCCCAGGTGCTGTCTGCAGTGATGAATTGCTGCCAGCACACATGCTCTCAGAGTCAGAAACTGCCCAGGGTCTAGCGTTTAAGCGGCAGCTTGACCGCCGTGAATGTGCCCGACATGCCTTCATCCAAGCTGACAATGATGCAGCTCTCCGGCGTGCCATGCTGCGCCGATCACGACCCGGTGATCAGCAGTACAGTCCCGGTGAGTGGGTAATGTGTTGGCGACCAGGGAAGGGCCCACAACCAGGATTTTGGGCGGGCCCCATGAAAATCGTGGTACATGAGAACCCTCAGACCATTTGGACCACCCAATGCAGTAAACTCTACAGATGTTCCCCAGAACATGTTCGACCAGTGTCAGCCAATGAGTCCCGGAAAATACCATTAACCACCAATGAACTTTCAGTCTCCACCATTGCACAACAATTGTCCAATTTCCAATCCCAAGGTATCACCAGAGCTATTGATAACTTTCCCTTAAATCCCATCACCAGCATTCCGATGGAGGGACCTACGTCCAGTCCGCAACCAAGTCAGAATGAAGAATCCTCAGAGGGTCAACCGGACATGGAACCTGAGATTCCATCCCATCAAACTACACCTTCCACCACCACGATCAATCCTGAAGAAAGCCATAATTCCCAGTTGAATGATCAACAAGTAACCCACAACCCAAGCCCATATGATGTAAACATCCCTGGTATCGAAACCCCAATACCTGACGATGAAGATGGTCTCACATGTGAAGGGATTCACTGCTTAGACGATGACGGGGACACAGGCCTGATCACCGACGGATCCGACATGGCATGGCGATGTGAAGTCGTGGTCAACGACAACGACATTCAGAGCTGGAAACAAGAAAGTCCCAGTGAGCACATGGCCTTTGTTGCATCAGCAGCCAAACGACAACGCTCTGAGGTCAAATTGTCCACGCTGACACAATCGGAAAGAGAGCAGTTCCAGAAGGCAAAGGAATCCGAGATTCAAAATTGGATTAGGACCGGCACCATTTCAAGAATCTTACGGGATAAAATTCCTCATGATCAAATCCTCCGATGCCGTTGGATTCTCACATGGAAACCAATAGACCCCGAAGATATTCCTGATAAATCCCAAGTCCAAAAATCCAAGGCAAAGGCCAGACTTGTAATACTAGGATACTTAGATCCCCAACTTGAGAATCTTCCCAGAGATTCACCTACTCTGGGACGAAATGCAAAGATGTTGTCCCTGCAATTGATTGCATCCATGGGTTGGACTCTCAGATCCTTTGATATCAAGGCAGCCTTTCTCCAAGGTAAAACCCAAGGAAACCGAATATTAGCCATTGAGCCTGTACCGGAACTCATCCAAGCCTTGCAGCTCTCCACAACAGAAGTATGCAAGCTTGAAAAGGGAGCCTATGGTCTGGTGGATGCACCATTTCTCTGGTACCAAGCCATTAATGAAGAACTGTTGAAACTAGGGTTTACACAAAGTCCGTTTGACCCATGTCAATACGTTCTTAGACACCACCAAACGGGAAAACTAGAGGGCATCCTTGGACTCCACGTCGATGACGGCATATGCGGGGGATCCTCATATTTCTCTGACAAAATCAATCAACTAGAAAAGAAGTATCCTTTTGGTTCCAAAAAGGCCCAACAATTCACATTCACAGGAATCGAAATGAACCAACAACCCGATGGAACGATCACTATGAAACAAGGCAAATACATCAATGCCATTGAACCAATCAAAATTTCCACTGACCGAAGGAACCAAGGAGAGGAAAAAGTGACGGAGACAGAGAGACAAAGCCTGCGTGCCATCATCGGCAGTCTCCAGTATGCCGCTGTCCACACCCGGCCAGATCTTGCCAGTCGATTGAGCCAATTACAATCCGCAATTAACAGTGCAACAGTAAATACACTTATACTTGCCAATCAAACTTTACACGAAGCCAAGAAGCACAGCAGCACCACCATTATCATTCAACCAATCCCTGTTGATGACTTTCGATTTTTGGCTTTTTCCGACGCCTCCTTTGCTTCAAAGAGCAATCCCAGTTCCCACACGGGTAGCATGATCATGGGCACTCATAAACTGATTTCAGAAAATGTTTCTTGCCCAGTAAGTCCCTTGGCATGGGGCTGCAAGAAAATTCAGCGTGTAGTGACAAGCACCCTGGCCGCTGAAACAGTTTCGTTAAATTCTGTACTTGATCATTTGTCCTGGTTGCGGTTGTGTTGGGGTTGGATGCTAGACCCAAAGGTTGAATGGAAACACCCAAACCATGCCCTAGGTCAGCTCCCTGAATCCTTTTCTACAGCCACCTATAAATCTCAGAGACTTCCAGATAGTCTAGCCGCCACTGACTGTAAAAGTCTCTATGATTTGGTCACAAGGACAGCTGTTCCCAATTGCGCAGAATATCGCACCATGCTCAATGCCCGGTCCATTAAGGATATGCTCCAAGAAGGAGTGCAACTTAGATGGGTTCACTCTGGAGCACAACTTGCTGATAGCCTCACCAAAATAATGGACAGTGGTTTCTTGAGAGAAACTCTCAAGATCGGAATGTATAAGCTTCATGACGAACTGGAAGTTTTGAAGAGCCGTGCATCAACCAGAACACGACTCAAATGGCTTCGCAGTTCTTGCAAGGAACCTGATGCCGAAGGTTGCAATGATGAATGTTTTCTTTCATTAAACTATGATTTTTTGGGAGTGTGAATCTACATCATTGCAACCCCCACAGTGCCATTTCCTTCCAGCTCACGATGCCAGGAATAATCAACAACAAATGTCTTACCACTTGGAGCACATTGGCTCAGGGTCAGCCTTAGGAGAGGGCATAGGGATAGGGAATCGTGCTTGCCATTTTTGCTTACTGGTCTATTGGCGTGGTCGCCATTTGGAACTTAGAGCCTGGGGCTCATTCAGAACTGGAAGGCCTAGTTGGCCAAGCGATTCTTGGTGCCTTGATCCCAAGGCTTTTGCCGCTGTGATCCTTTTTGCGAGGTCTGACAAAACAGTTTGGCCGCGCTGTGGGTTTTGTGCTTTGGAGGTGCTACCAGGTGATCTGACTAATTGTCAATCACAATATATATATATACACATATTGTTTTAGTTCAAGTTGAGTCATCTGGTCATTTCACTTCACTACACTTCACTAGACTTCACAGCTTCACTACATATCACCACATTTTTCAAAGTTTGCGACGCACGGTCTGCTCCATTGGTCGCATTGGTCGTGGTTCCTGTCGTGTGTTTCGCCGCGTCCCGGAGGCGCTCCTGCTCCAGGAAGAGGTCGCCCCTCTCCGAGCGCGGTCCGGAGGATGCTCGCGTCAAGGGTGGCACACCTGCATGTAACATCCCAAAACCACCAAACTGGCGAAAACCCAAATGAAACCGAAGAGATCAATTCGATCAACTCATAACTGTCATAACTCAACACACTCACAACTCCTTCTTGCCCAAAGGCCCAAGATGAAGCAGCCGCCTTCACTAACTACTGTGTTCAGGAAGTGCGCCAACTTTGTAAGTATTTCAGTAATCTTCGCCACTTTATCACGGGCAGGAAAACAATGATTTCCAAAAAGTTTTGTTAAAGATCATCTGACCTGAAACACTTCACCATACTTAAAGTCTGGACGCAAAACTCACACAATGTGCTGAACACAGTGATGGGCCGGCCCATAACATAGCGGCCCTAAATGGCCCTATAAAATCCAAACACACTGTCTGAAAGAGCAAAGTTCGACCTGTTGCCACTCCCTGCCTGGTGTTACTTCGGGCGGTGCAAATCTCAAAGGCACCCAAACAGCGAGGCCTTCAAAGAGTCGGCCTGCCGTCTCGACCCGTCTGACCCGTGCGCAGCGATTTTTGTGACTCGAGACAAATATCGATAAGTCTTGAGCAATGGGCAACGATCTCCCGAATTCACCCCAATTAGCCAGACTATACCAGAGATCACCAGACTATAAAATCCACATGGTGCAGGCTTTTCTTGCCTTCATGAAATTGCATGCAGCTGCTTACCTGACCCTACCTTTTTCAAGGGCAGGCTTCTGGACGCCTTTCACGTACCGTCACTAGTCACAGTTTTTTTCACAGTGTTGCGCTCAAGGTAAAAATGGAAAATATGTCTTTAAATCAAAGCATCTGAGACGACTAGTCATGTCTGGTTCCCAGAAATTGCTAAAAGGATCTCCAATGGAAGGCTTGGTCGAAGGTTTCATTAGTTGCGTCCATTGAGGACAGAACTTAGTGCTTTGGAATCGGAAACAGAGATGCCCATGTCCTAGGGAATTCCTAATGCGATTTGACAACTTGATTAAATCATGTAAATTAATGTATGTAAATTATATAGACAAATCTGCAGCCCCTTGGTGCCTTGTCAAAAATAGAATAGAGGCACAACCAATTCCGGCAACGTTTATTGCAGACCACTATTGCTCAGAAGTGATGGTTTCAAGATACTGAAACGGTTTTCTACAGGCAGGAGGGATCAAAAGGGAGTTTGGGTGATTCCAAATGATTCCGCATGAATCTGGCCTGGATAGATGCAGAAGCGAGTGAACTCTGCTAGCATCGCTGTCTTGCCCAGGCCAGGAGCCTGTTAAAAAGTGTTGAAGCTGGCTATTGCAAAAAGTGCTGTGAAGTGCCGTAAAATGCTGAAGCATCAAGAGAAACAAATACAAAGATCTTCATAGATCTTCCATGATATTCCTGATTCTTTCTGAATTCTTCGATTCAAACTGAGTGAGTTCAGTACGTGGAGTTTGAACCTGGCATACCTGGGCCATGGGCTATGACTCGCCTTGCCCCAAACGTTCACCACACGAGCACGGTCGCTGCGAGAAAAATGTCTTGCCATTTCCACCTTGGTGATATTCGGTGAGCGGCGATGACTGCAGAGTCACTGTAGAGTCAGCATAGAGCAAAGTCCAGCGGGTTCCTCTTTCCATTTCCTTCCACCTCTTTCCTATGCTACGCAAATGGCGTTGCCAGTCTGGTCAGGCCACCATCTCTTGTGCTCTCCCCAAGAAGTGTTGGTGACGTCCTGCAAGGAGCCAAACACCTCCATGAAGTGAAGCATGGAAGAGATCATCAACCAGTCTCACATGTTCAACTCTACTTGTACATTCCATGTCTCGCAACAAATCCATTTCTGCAAAGAACATCAGCGACCACATCTACAGCTCAGCATTGTGTGCTACACTTTCACAACATTCATGACTTCCATGAGTCGCCCTTAACACGGCATACCCGGCATACTGCTTTGCTCCTGGAAGGACACTCGTCGAATCACCGCCCATCCACTTGGTGCAGGGCGACAATGAAAACAATGGCCATGATGGTCATGATTTGACCGACGCCCACACAATAATGCTCCATTAAAATGATGACATGATGACAATGGATAACAAGGGCAACTTTAACATGTTCACAAACGGATCAAGAACAAACAACAGCAGTGAATTGTACACATATCACGTTTCAGGTGCACAGCGTCATGAAGATGAACTCAAAACAAAAAAGAGGGAGAGAGAGAATCATTTGAGAGATGAACTCAACACAAACATGTTTTCTCTTTCAGTTTTTGTGTTGTTTTCGTTTTTTCCATGCAGATGCGGCTTTTCCAAAACTTTTCCAAAAAGTTTGCAAATGGCCTTCATGGCTTTCGCGGCGTTGCCGACGCTGCTAAGATCTTTGGCGTCTTCCAGAGCCTCGAGGCACGACGGCAGGAAGCTGAGACACCCATTGATTCCAAAGCAGGCTTGGAAAAACATCACGGCTGCACATATAAACGAATCGTACTAATAATATGTATATAATATATGATATTATATCATCCTGATTTGTTACTGTATAATATGCATGTCTAATAATATATATATATATACATGTGTATCCATTGACAACAATATATCTACTGTTGCATTGAAATGTATTTGTTGTACGTGTTTATACAATAAATATGTCTTTCTGGATATTTTGTGTTCTTGGCAAACAAATCTGAAGATCTGCAAAGCGTCGGTAAAAGCAAGCTGCGAGGCAGAAGGGAATCGAAAGGAGATCACTATGAGACGTGGTGATTGGCGTTTGTAAATTGAGATGTGACCACGGCATCATACGGCATCTCGCAACAGTGCGGATTCATGCGTGCTTCACAAATTTCCCAATTTCTGCCATGGAGCATGGGCTGTCAACAGCTGCAAAGTAACACTGCAGTGCCGTGCCATCGGTGCCACCGACAAACCTGGATATTTCAGGACGTCATCCTGCCTGAGGAGCTCAGGTCACCCCAAAGGGCTGCCGCTGTCGCAACAGTCGAAGTTCAAAAAAGGAGAAGGTGCGCGTGGGTCAAATATTTGCCACAAAGATCCCAGGTTCAAAAAAAAACGATAGCATCATTCAATGTGCACCTTTCCAAGCTGACTGTATGTCACTATGCTCTTCAAACATCTTCAAAATTCTTCAAAGTTTTTGTACCATTGTTTAACTAAGTTTACGCACATTTGTATCATTTTAAAATATTTTAAAGCTGCTGCATTTGTTGCCCGATGCCCGCCTTGGCAATAACAGGAACTTCTGAGCCTCTGGTCTGAGTCCAGCCTCGCAAGGATCGGAGAATGAAAATCACCTGCCTAAAGCTGAAACTCGACAAACTCGACAAACTCGACCTCAGACTATCATAGACTATCATGATTTATCCATATTTATCCGATTTGAACACCTGGAAATATCTGGAAATGCTACAGCCTTTCCTATCCCAAAGATTCCCAAAGAATGTCTTGGTTCTCCAAGTGATCTCCCTCAAACATTTTCAGACACTCAATCACAGTTTTATTCCGTAGGGTCCCCTTCTGTCCTGCGGAGAAAACGCGACAGACTCTTGCGCATATTCAAACGCTGAGAAGACCTCAGCAAAGACGCCAGGAACAAAATTAAGAGCAGCTAGCTGGGCTATGGCTATGCCTTCGGAAGCAAAGAATAATAAAGAATATACCAATTTGATCAAATTTGTATCGTGTTCTCGTGCTCGTCAAACATTGAGTTTCAAAATCTAAACTCAAACATCTATTTCATTAAAGAGTTTTGCATCTTTCTCTCCGCATCTCTGAAAGATCTCTCTGGTCAGCATTGGGTCATTGGCCGGTCGCCCAGCAGCCAAAGAGCGATAAAAAGCCTATTGCGGCTTCAAAGGTTTGGACATGTTTGGACATGTTGAAAGGGCCAAGATCATCCAAGATCATCCAAGATCTCTCAGATTTTCAAGTGCTGCAATCTCAACTGCCGGTGGAAGTCGGCTTTTGACTCAAAACGCTTCACGGCTTCACGCTCTCTCCTTGGTGAAGGTTTTGCAGGCACCGTCGAAGACTCGTCCACGGCAGCAAATGACATGAGGCACCCCAGCTTCCATGAAGGCTCCTGGGAATGGCACATGCGGAAGCACAGTTTGTATCATTTTTTTGTATCATTTTTTGGTATCATTTTGAAGATTTTGTATCTGGATTTGGTCCCATGAGTCCCATCATGTCCCATCCTAGCCATGCCCAATGAAACTAGTCCTGCAACACCTTCAGAATCGCAGCAATTCAGAAAGACGCCGCTCAAAGGGCATTTCAGGCCTCAGGCTCAGAGTTTCTCCCCACCCTCTAGCCATACTGCAGTTGATTCGAAGTAACATAAGTAACACTGGTATGGTCTTTGTTGAAACGGTACCTATAGTTCATGAAATCATGCTTCACCAGCCTTCCTTTTGCCGTAGCCACTGCAGAAGACGCCAGCGCGGTAGAGGTTGGGGTTGGCCAACCTTCCATGCCGTCTGCACAAACCACAGTCATGAGTGTCACAAGCAGCATGTAGGATACTTTGACATTGAGTGTTTTTTTCCCTAGCAGGGCGATATATGTTTCAGAATGCAGCAAAGCTATGCATCTGTGGGGATTTGTTAATCATTGCTATGAATGACGCCTTCCACACAAAACATGTTCCCTACAATTCTTGAGTCCCTGCTGTACCACCACCTTATTACAGACTGAGATGAGCCCCTGTCAGATTTTGCACACCTTCACTCAAAGGTCTTTTTGCACACTACTGGATGAAACCAGACTCGCAAAACACGTTGGCCCAAATGACACGATGCCGCAAGTGTGGCAATGCAGAGACACCAATTCCAGCAGTATTCAGAAGTGTCATGGAAAATAATTGAACCGATTACAGTATATACTAACCATATACTAACCATTACTAACCCGTATCAACATATTATATCTAGCCCGCTTTCTGTATTTTTGACCCGCCTCGTCCTCCAAAAGCAAGAACGGCCTTAGAACAGCACAAGCACTGCACAAACACCGCACACCACACCTCGAGGGCTCCCGCAGTACCAGCAACCCATAGCAAAATACTCGGCTTCAGGAGCCATACCATGCCATACGATCACGCCCAGCCTTCTCAAGATTGGAGACTTACGAGACTTACGAGACTTGCATTGCTGAAGCAACCACCAAATCCACCAAGTCGGTTCCATGACATGTCGAATCCTTTCATCGTCGAGCCAGGGAACTCCAAACCATGCGTACTGGTAGCATAGCCAGCGTGCATGGCACCTTGTAATATCAGGCGTCAACAGCTGCCAGTGCGGGCCATCAACTTTCCGAACTTTTTTCTGGACTGATTTTTCCTTGCCTTTGGGTGATTGGGTGGCAAACATTCATACAAAATAACAAAGCAATGTAGATTTCCGATGATTCCCTCAATTTCGACATGTCTTCTGCATAGTTCATATATATATATACATACATAGCAATAGCATATCTCAACATAAACCCTACAGCTGCAGGCTTTCTATGGCTCTCTCTGGTGTCCAAGGCACAATGAAGGAACACCGGTGCGCCAGGATAAGATCGATCCCCGTGCGAAAGCAACTCCAAGAGAGTGGATGAGAGTCCCAAGCGCACATCAATCTCCACCTGAGTTGTGCAAAAGTCTGCAAACTTCACTGGCTCATTTTGGCATGACAAGATATGACTGATATGACAATTATTGAACATTCTTGATCACTCTGATCATCGGGGTATATCATGGGGGTATCATGGGGATATCACGGTAATCACGGAGTCTGGGTGCTGAATCTTTCTGCCTATTGCAGCATCTTCAATGGCTTGATGTAGCAAGCTCTACTCCTTGCCCCCGCAGTCCAGCACTTAGTGCCGCACTCGAAAGTCTTCTTCGGACAATGAATCCCTGAGGGTAGGTGAAAGGCACATCAAAGATATCAAAGGATACTTGACTGGAACTCATTGCACACATACGAAAATTGGAATCAAGCTGCTGCAATTGCTCAAAGGTGAAATTCTTGTTGCTGATGGATTCGAGAACAGTTCTAGCTTTGCCATCTCAATACATTCTAATCACCCCCCAGCAAAAACTTGCTTTGAATTGCTGCAAGCTAGACACAATTACACACGAGTTGCTATCAGTCATTTGTCATTGGGTTGAACATCTCAAACCAATCGTAGCAACTGCTTCAAACCCGCTTCAAGTGGCTTGTGAATCTTGTGATACTTGTACAAGATTGCTTCTACAGAGTTGGGTGGTGTCAAACGTGTCTAGTCCGAATGCACAGAGCGCGCCTCAAAAGCTGCAGCTCTGAGCGAACGTCCAAGGCCTAGCTGCAGCTGAGCAACTATGCTCTTGTGCAAAGATTTGCTGTGTGAAAGATTTCCATGAAAAATTGATAAAAATGGCGCATTGCACAAGAGCACACCGTACAGCAACTGTGCAACCCGCATCCACTGTCAAAGGCGATGCGTAAAGGAAATAGAGCAAACCCACCTTGCATCGAAGCGAGGCAGAGTGAAATGTTCTGATGGTAGAGGGGAGCAATTAAACGCAAAGAAGCAAGGGCCGAAAGGAAGGCTAAAGCAATCATAGAGAGCATGGGCAAACATGGAAACCATCCCAGTGCCGATAGCCCATTCTGCTGAGTTGATACAAGGTGTTTTGCAGTTCCATCCAATTCCTTCCTTTATTCTACGTGGATACAGCAAGCCTTGGTCGAATCGTTTTCCGTGATGCTCTCCTGCGACCAGGGAAAAATGTGGAGATGAACAGCAACAAAATACAAAGACATGCTATATGTTGCTATATCAAGATCTTACAAGACACTTAGGTGTTTTCGGTCTTCTCAATGTGTTCTGAACATGTCTCATTTGGCGCGTTTTTTTTTGGGGGCGATGAAGACTTGTCGAAGCCTTTGGGTTCCCCTCTGCTGACATGAAAACTCGAGATTCAAAGTTCAAAGCCGTTTCGTGTTGTTTCAAGCACTTTCATGCTGCGTGTTTGAGATGCAAAACCCACTAATTATCCACTCAAATCCGCCCACACCGCTTTGGCGGTGAAGGCGTGCTTATTGGGGGGCAACAGCAACACTAAATGCTCAATGACATTTGTTAATATAGCAGTCGCTATATCAGCTTTAGCTGGGGGGGGCCCAAAAACGGTTTCGCACCGAGACCAGAATACGGTGGTGTTTTCGACATTTTTCGAAGATTTTTGGGTGTCTGAGCGCAAGAGGGTATTGAAATGGAATTTTGGGTCATTTTGGTAGCTTTCCGGCAATGGAAAAACGGCCAAAAATGAAAAAAACATTGTACATAGCAAGATTTTGCAGGGTTTTTGGATGCCAGAGCATTGAAAACACTGCAAAAACAAGTGTTTTGGACTGACGTTATAGCAAAAAACGTGTAAATTACCGTATGCTTGACTGGAAACATTACAAAAACACTGTCAAAAGCAATGTTTTGGAAGGATTTACTGCCTTTATTGCAAAAAACGTGTAAATTACCGTCTGTTTGACTGGAAACATTGGAAAAACACTGTCAAAAACAATGTTTTGGAAGGATTTCTTATATATATATATATATGTTGGAGTTGGCTACCGGCATTGGAACATGGAAAAATTGAAGAAAACACTGTAAATAGCGGTATTTTCAACGGTTGGGGAGATAAGGGAATTGGAAGCATTGTCGAACATGATGTTTTCGACCGGTTTTATGGCGACAAAAGTGTAAAGTACCGTGCTTTGAAGGAAACCATTGCAAAAACATGGAAACACATTCAAAGAACACGGGATTTGGGGGACTATCTAGGCGTCGTTGTCTAGCTATTTGAAATTCCGCAGCTTGGAGAGCCTCCAAGGGAGGGAAAAGTGAAAATTCCATAGCTTGGGAAGCTGTCACGGCGGGGAAAAGTGAAAATTCCCTAGCTTGGGAAGCCCCCACGGGGGGGAAAAGTGAAAATTCCCTAGCTTGGGGAGCCCCCACGGGGGGGAAAAAGTGAAAATTCCCTAGCTTGGGGAGCCCCCACAGGGGGGGAAAAGTGAAAATTCCCTAGCTTGGGGAGCCCCCACGGGGGGGAAAAGTGAAAATTCCCTAGCTTGGGGAGCCCCCACGGGGGGGAAAAGTGAAAATTCTTAGCTTGGGGAGCCCCCACTCACGGACCGAAATAAACCTGCGGTGTGGGCGGCCACCCCACGCGAAGCGGGGTGAATATGCATGTTGATGCATGTTGCAATCAATCTAGGAAGCTTGATTCATGGACGCACTGTTGATGTACAAGATTCTGCGTTCTCACGCTTATATGACAGCGGCCTTTCCGGGGCCTAATTGAAATCCAAATATGGCTTACCCTGAACACAAATCAAAGACTGCATAACTTTCGCAACATATCGTAACTTATCGTAACTATATTGTAATTATTTTTGGTCTTTTTTGGGCTGCTTTTGTTGGTTTGGCCTTGCCGATGGACTGACTGGATGAACTTGGCTGCATGGTCGGAATCGGAACCTCTGCCAGGGACTGCATGTCTGGCGACCCGCTGTGTCAATTTGTACCAGGGACTTAGAACCAACACAAGCGACATGAATGTTTTGGGACGTTTTGGGATGTTTTGGGTAGATCTGTATAATACAACAATCCACATGGATGAGGCACCAGATGCACCAGATAGTTTCTGTTGTCTGTCTTCCCTTTTTCATGTCCGATCTGAAGAATCTGTGCCATGTCCGTGCTCTCCAGTGTCCCTTTTTTGCTGAGGGACAGTTCTTTTCTCAACCCCTGGCAAAGAAGGTCTCCTTTCCCTTGCTGTCCCAACTTCCTCAGGTTCACGACACAATTCCATTGCGGGCTGTGAATCGGAAGGTTTGATGATAAAAATATGAGAAACACATGGAGGCGCCCGGGTTAAAATATTGACAAGTGCCACATTGATACACCATTTACAGTGAGTAGATTTCTTTTGTGAAGTGAGCCAGCAAAATAGCAAAATGTACTACATATCATCTGACAAATGGATTGCAGCTTGCACCAAGCTGTTCAGCAGACTGGAATCCCATTGCAAATGAACGCAACCCTATCTACATACTAAGTACATCTAATCATCTAACATCATCTAAGTACGTACATAGCAACATCTTTGTAAGTCAGTACACATCCCTCTCAGGACACATCCCAAGATATTCCCTCACCATTCACTGCAAAATCTGCAAATCTCTAATTCCATCAGGACAGAGCGACCGTTGGTTTCTCAATGACATCCCCAAGCGGAGGATCTTCCACCGATTGAGATCGCTGAGGGTGTACCAAAGGCTCCTCTGACCGTGCGAGAGAAGAGCATGAAATGAAACATGCCAAGTCAAGAGAATGACATAGAATGACCAGAGTTGACCAAAACATCAAAGATCTTCAAATGGCCATTCCGATCGTGAACATTAGGATCGTCTCAAACATGTCAGCACTGTGGCCACCTCGTGGTTTTGCTCCAAGACCTCTTGACGCCAATGGAACGCCCAGCTGGCCTTGCAGTGTCGCTGTTTGCAAAAGCTGTGACTCTTTGACCCCTGTTTGCAGTGACAGTTCTAGCGTAGCAGGGACAGTGCCTGTCGTGAGATGGACTTTGGAAAGATTTGTTCGTGATTGAATATAATTCCAACAATTCAGTGACATGATTCAATGATCATCCAAATTCATCTTTAAACCCATCTTTATGTGGCTTCGAGCACTTTGCCGCTCAGGTCAAACCTGCCTTCTCCAACGTAACTGGTTCGTGGCTGCGACGGCACACCACGACCTGTACAGTGCTGCAGTGCAACATCAGCTACGGGCATTCGGTGATTCAAAATGGCATTGAACATATTGAACTGAGGATACACATGGCAAACGATATACATATTCAATCATATTCATATCTTCATACATACTAAAACGCCAAACACCTTCAAAAATAAAGATGTTGTTTTAGAATGTTTTAGAACCCAGGGTGTTGTATCCAACCCTTCAAATTGACGGGGCATTGGGTTTTCTTCACTTCCATGGTCTTGTGACCGTGTTTGCCGTGGTTGGGACAGCGCCCGTATGAACCCATTGTTTTGATCCGAACAAAAACTTTTTGTGTCAGTCATTACCCAATTTTTCCTAAACCCATGCTCGAACCCAAACTAAGCCCATATTTTACCTGTAACAAACAATTGATGGAGTTGAACCACCCCCACTTCTGCTGATGGCTCAAAACCAAACGATAAAACATCAGTTCTTCCACCCAAACATTGGGTTTTAAACAGGTTTTGGTGAAGGTATGTTACACACACACACACATGTATACAAGATTCTAAATAGATTATAAACAGATTATACAAGTGTTTCACTGTGTTTCATGTTGGTTTTATGTTGGTTTCATTTCGAATTTGTCGAAGTTCAGTGCACCAAGATCTCGTGAGATGCCTCCGACAGCTCTGAGACGTCGATGACGTGTGGTGATCCGGAGTGATGACAGTGAGGACACAAAACTCCTGGAACGAAGCGAAACGAAGCGAAACGAAGTTTCGTGTTGCGCATATGGTAAGCATCACTCACTGTCACTCCAGCATCAAGCTTAGCATCATGCTTAGCATATTCAGCGTGGCTTAGCATGTCCTAGGCCCAAGGACACCACCATGTCTAAGTGCCGCATGATGTCACATGGAGTAGAAAGTGGGAAGCGATCGCATAGTCTCCTGCTGTGAAGGACAAGTGCGGCAACCACTCTGAAGTGCTCTCCTCAAACGGTCAAAGCAAAACTCGGAAGTGCCAGAATACAGTAGCACAAGGAAAAAATGACTCACAGTCGACAGAGTGGCTTCACAAAAAAGCTACAGGATTGATTTCAATTGCTGTCAAGTGTCATGCACAAGATTGATGACTTGCTTGGCTAGTTCCAACGGCAGCTGCTCTTCTTCGCCATCCTGCAAGGGTCAATGTTCAATCCTGAAAATAGAGTTCAACGCATTGAACTGTTTGCCTAAATGTTCGAAGCTCAACAGTAGGCAAACAGTTAAATGCACGATGCTCCGCGAGACATTCATTTCAAACAAAGCCGGCAGGCTACATACCGGAACACATGCAACTGGGCGTACTTCAAGAAACATTGACTTTGTCAAGAACCTGAAGATCTGACACTATCTGATAGAAAGCAAACGAAAACAAATCACCTGAGAATTATCATGAAATATGGAAAAAACAAATCCCCTCTTCTGATCATTCTGATCTTCATATCTGATCTTCATATCTGTTCATTTATCTGTTCATTTATCTGTTCATTCATCTCTCTTTCATATCTCTTTCTGCTCTTTGATCGTTTTGTATCGCGCTGCGCCTCGTCTCCGCCGAGGAGGCGCCGTACGGCGATCATCTCGGGCCGCACGGGCGGCACCAGCTCGAAGCAAATCCGCCGTCGCCCGAGGAAGATGGTGCAACTGTCCTCCACGCGTGCAATGTCTCGTTCTATGTAGAAACATGTCGAAACATGTGGAAACACATAAAACGATATAAAAACAAAAATCAAAGAATATCAAAGAAGAAACCACTTTATTTAATATTATTTATATTGGGATGGGACATGCATGAAAGAATCTCCTTGTACACCTGCGAGTGTGTCAATCGCAGCGAAGGTGTCTTTGCAGCACTCGCAATGAGCCGCGGAAAAACGGTTGGCAGGAGCCTATCAAGGAAACAAAAGTGGCAGACGGAAGTAATGACACCATGTCTGAGGAAGTGGACGGTGACTTGTCACCTGGAGGGTTCTGGGAATTCTAATTCTAAATCAAAACCTGGTGACAAACATCGTGGAAAAAAGGACTTAGATTGCATATTGTATACTCATGTAATATCATGTAATGTCATCCGTCTCCGCAAAGGCACAGTAATAGTTTGGATCCCACATGCAAAGGAATGACATGGAATGACCATGAACAAGCAACATCAAGCAACCACATAAGACAACTTGGACCAAATGCGACTCCAAGATCTCCAAGCAATCTCTACCACAAAACAAAGTAGACTCCGGATCTGAAATACTTCAGACTTCCCAAGTCCGACATGCCAAAGGAAGCAAAAGGAAATCACCACACTTTGACACAACAGGAGGAACTTGATGGAACTTGGACGACTAGCAAAAGCATGCAAAAGCAACCTGTCACGAATCATGCGATCCGCTGCGATCCATGGGATCCGCTGCGATCCATGGGATCCATGCGATCCGGTGCAACGGGTGCAACGGGTGCAACGGGTGCAACGGGTGCCTTGACAGCATCCCATGGAAGTCAAATGACAGCGATCCTTCACCAGGAGGCTCGTAGGCACCACTTCGCAGAGGGAGCAAAAATGGGACCACATAGACGTCCTGGATCTGGGGGGACAAAAAGGGGCATCATGACGCAGCCAGAGACTGTTGCATTATGTTGCATTTGTTGATCCGTCAAGACAGGAACAGAACACTTACTAGTGGCAAACTGGTGAAGAGTGAGGAAAACTACTCAAAACCTAGCCATGCCTTGCAAGGCAGGCAAGGCATGAAAAGCCAAGAGGTCAAACAAGTGGTTTTCGACCAGGCCGTCCTTTTCTGAGGAAGAAACCAAAAGGTCAAATCGCAGCAGCAAATTGACCAGAGTTGGAATGTACTCAGCAAACCTGACACCAGCTGACACCAGGAATGTCTGAAAGATTAACGCATTGTGGGAACTTGGTTAGTAACACATTAGTGAATGTTAGCGAATCAGCATTTCGTGATTTGTTTCATTGTGAAAATGCTGCCCAGCTTGGCCTTGGCGACTTCCAGAGGTACTGCTTCAACAAATCCACATGCAGCTCTCCTCGTTCCAGAAGACGCCTTGCAGATGGAAGTACTGTTGGGACAATGATCACCTTTTGTGATTTTTTTGGATCACTTTCTTACTTCATGTTCATCTTATCAAGTTGCTAATGAACAGTCTTAACTTAGCACATGATGTATTTGATATATGTGGTTATATTATGTATAATATACGTATGTATAAGTATAATATTTATTTGTAACATGTTTGTATGATATATCATAGATACTACGAAAGATCATCGTTAAGATCCACTCTGCTTCAAGGTCTATGTTTGTCAGAGGCAGGGAAAATCGGGGAAAATCGGGAAAAATCAGGGACATCGTCCAAAGTCTATCTTAGTGAGCGAAAGTGTTCTTGTTTTTTGATCTTGCAACTGTCGTTTTTGGAAAATAAACATAGACCTCGGTTTCTCTTTTCTCCTCCTCGAGGTCTATGTTTGTTGAGTGTATGCATTGCGTATCATTGTGCAAGGTGGGGCAAACACTACGCATAGCTTCCGAGGCGGACATCGGCCTTGCAAGCGCCACACTGCCTTGAACCACCCGTGGGCAGTTGAAGATATTGGCAGCAGCCTGTGCAGAGACACCATGTGGACACCATGTGGACATTGCAGCTATAGAATGCATATAGAATGCTATTGATAGCTCTTGGTCGCGAACGTTATTGATAGTTATTGCATCTTCAAATGATCTGAGGGTCAGAGCCTTTGCAGGCTGCTACAAGTCTGTCTCTAAAAGTCCGTCAAGGACATTGAGAGATTGACTTCATCTCCGGTCATATGATCTCAGTAGGATCTTCCTGGCACTTTCGATGCGCGCCTCAGCCAACCAGTAAGGATCCAGAACAACGGAATCTCGTAGTTTCTCCTCGTCAAAGAAGATCAGTGAACCTCACGGAAGAACACTGGGTGAAATTGACCACAACAATCCACAACACATATCAACATGTGCACAACACATATCAATGTCAAAACCCAGCACACCAATCAACACGATCTACACCTCAAGCACTGTGAGGTCTTCTCGGAGGTGGTGGAAGGTGATGTTTGCATCAACAGTGCACCACTGCAAATCACTGCAATCTAGCGATGTCTAGCGATGTTGGTGCTTTCTATGTTCACTCTCGACAGTTGGGTTATGCCTTTGGACTTGAACCAAAACATTTGTCTCTCACTTCAAATTTTCAGGGACAAAACAAGAAATCTCAAGCATCTCTGTACGAACCCAGTTTCGTCTCATCCCTTGAGATAGCCACTGTAAGTTGTCGAATATAGGCAGGAAAACTCATGAAAGTGTAGGAAAAGACATTGACATGGATTGGAGCCTGCTAACCCAATCTACTATCCAAAATAAACTGTGTTTCATCGCATGTTTTATCTTATGAAATTTGAATTGTGTACTGTTTGAAACTTCAAATGCTATGTTGCCCGAGCCTGTGTCGTGAAGATAAATGAGCACAGATAGCAGCTCTCCATCATCTTGAATGCCAACCTGGTTAGCAAGGGCCAAATTGACCAAGGCTATCCCCCAAAATCAATGAACCCTTCAAATACGAGTAAAAGATGAAAGAATATATCTAAAAAATGCACAACTGTATAAATAGTGTTACTAGAACTGCGTCTCTGCAGCTTTGTTGGTGTTTAGCGGATATGTGCAGCTCGGACACTGCACGGCCAAGTCGTGCAACGTGTGAAAAAGGCAACACGTGACTTGGATTGCTTGGAGCTCCTGCAGGGAATTGGGAAGTTCAGGAAGTTCTCCAAACGATTCGGAAAACAAAGATTGCTTTGTCTCAGATTGGAAGGTCTTGGGTCCTCTGTCCATCTACAAAGAGTAGAAAGGTGAGGCAAGGTGTTTGTTTGTTGCCATCAATGGAGCTATGCAAAACACAACGTGTGCCACGTCCTGGGGGAAGCCCTCCAGGTGTAGTGCCTCACAAAACGTCAACGTCAACACAATTCACTGATTTCGCTGGTGGAATGCCGTTTGAAGATGTTTGAAACATTTTGAATCGCATTCTGAACAAAAACCGATGAAATGATAATTCTGATATGATCTGATGTCCAAAATCAGGATTGAACGTGGGAAAAAATGAAACGTGCGATTATCGGACAAATGAAGGACACGCTGCACGTAAAGGAGCAAGGAATTCTCACCAGCTCACCACTTACAACATCCAAATATATGGCACATCCAAAGCTGGCCAAGTTACCCCAATATCTTTCTGGTCCAACTTTGCCCAAACGAGTCAGCTCAGTCCTCAGCAATATAAATGTGCTGAATGTAGTGGTCTTACCAGCCCTGGAAGTGAGTAGGGTCTCGAAGTGGCGGTTCTTATGCTTCAAGAGTACGTGATGGATTGCTGTTTTGTTGATCTCAAGATGACAAATCTAACAATCGCGAGGAGATATATAAATGGATGAACATAGATAAGCTGGCGAGTGTAATTCACAATGGTTGAACTTTGGTACTGAGCCTTTGCAATGCAAAACCAACCACCCAAGAACCTTGCCTGCCACTGCCAGGGCCCCCTAGAAGATATGCAACAAGATTCACAGGACGCCTGAATTGCCTTCATTTTCACTGTACAAAGGGGCAAAACGTACTGTGCCATTAGTGCCATTGATTCAACTCCAAGTTTCTGATATCTCAGCCAGTAGAGCGGAAGGGGCTTGGAAAGAAAACCCCTGGTGCAAATGTCCTTAGGAAAGCCAGAATGCATTCCCTCAAACTTGTCTCACAGGAAAGTGCTGATCTCCAACCAAGCACACATACACACACAAGAGCAGCGGAAAGAGGTTTGACATTTGTTGTGAGTCTTCTCATTGTCTCAGTATGTATCATTCATCTCACGTTCAGGTACTCAAGGTGGGAGATGTTTTCAGCGCTTGGCACAGTTCTCGGAAAGCGTCAGAGGCGGTCTCATCCACTTTGGCCCGTAGAACATCAACACTCTGCCGGCCACGACGTCGATTGTCGACAGGGAAAAAACAGAGCTCTTCGGCTTCATTAACCTTGGAGTCCAACGTGGGACACTGGCTGGGCAAACATGTTTCACAATGCCTTCTGAGCGGGAGCAGCACACTTTAAAAGGCAAACACTATGAAACAATGCCATATGACTTAATGATTTAATATGTGTCCAGCGCATTTCCAACCTTGGGAAAAAAGAGACATACCATTGCATGTAAAGACAATCACAAAGACATTGCCTTTTTCAGCTTGGTAATTCTGACAAGAAAATTGCAGTGATGCATACAAGAGCCATTCATTTCCATACAATCAAGCATCGATACGGCATTCCCATTGGGGGAGACTTGAGCGTCACTTGATACGAAATGTGCCACGAAACCATCTTTTCATTGGCACGTCTCTGTGACCTACTCCAACCCGATGCAACTGGTCAAATTGTGTCCGAGGAACCACCAGCTGGGCATTCAACGCCTCATTCCTCTCGAGCCTCAGACAAATTTAAGATACAAGCACCGTGCTTAAGTCACATCAGGCGGGAAAAGTCACATCATCCCCATGGCACGGCGGCGATACAGAAAGCAGCAGCAAGCAGCATTTGCCCCCTTGAAAAAATTATCAAATATAAGTCTTACAAATCAACGCAATACACAAATTGAACTTTTTCCAGGCGCACGGCCCCAAAACAATGAAATCGTTCAATTCCTAAAAGTTGTGGTGATGCCAAACTTGAATTTTTTCCAGGCGGACGGCCTCCCGATACGACTTTTAATACTTTTACGAGCTGATACGACTTAACCCTAGCGCTTGTAATTCATGATAATTCAAGCAACATGCAAAACCTGCGCAGCATGTGTGCAAAAGCATGCGAACAGTTCATTGCAGGAATGGGATGACCGTATGACCTGCAGAACGACCGACCGCTTGGACATAGTGAAGTGTTGATAGTGTTGTTCCCCCAAAACATCCAAAACATTCCAAAACTATCATCCAAGCTTGCAAACTTGTCACTCGTCACATCTTATCACAAAGTCGCATTATGTCACAGCATCCTTCACAAGTATTGCAAGAATACCACAAAATGAATCAACCATTTGTCAAACATCAGCTTCCTAATTGCCAAATCTTGCTATATATTGCTCATATTATTTCAGCAAGAAACAAATTCTGCACACGGGAGTCCACCGCTTTCAGTACCGCAGTGCGTCGCGGACCAAGCAGGTCAGCGTGAGTGCCGACCTCGGTCACGACTGAGCCGATAGATTTCAAGAAACTATGGAAACTGCTCGGAATTCGGGAAATAGATAGATCTACGATCATCTACGATGATCGACTATTAGATGGGAATATATACATATTTAATTTCTTTAGAACATTTCAGAATATCCGCCGACCACAGCAAACGGCAGGGGGAGCGCGCCCGAGAAAAAGTTGTAGCCTGCCCTCAAACGCTCCGCAGCGCCTTTGCCGGCGCTTTTGGCCATCTGCCGGGCCTTTGCCCAGTACTGCGGGCCTTTGCACACAACTTTTCTAGTGGCTTCAGAAAGCAACGTTAGGCACTCGCCTGCCTTCAAGCCCTCCGCAGCGCCTTGGCCGGCGCTTTGTGGCCATCTGCCGGGCCTTTGACCAGACTTTTCTAGTAGCTTCAGAAAGCAACGTTAGGCACTAGCCTGGCTTCAAGCCCTGCGCAGCGCCTTGGCGGGCGCTTCGTGGCCAGCTGCCGGGCCTGTGCTCGAGCTTTTCCATCTTTTCTAGTGGCTTCAGAAAGCAACGTTAGGCACTAGCCTGGCTTCAAACCCTCCGCAGCGCCTTGGTGGGCGCTTTGTGGCCAGCTGCCGGGCCTGTGCTCGAGCTTTTCCAGTCTTTTCTAGTGGCTTCAGAAAGCAGCGTTAGGCACTAGCCTGGCTTCAAACCCTCCGCAGCGCCTGGGCGGGCGCTTCGTGGCCAGCTGCCGGGCCTGTGCTCCAGCTTTGCCAGTCTTTTCGAGTCACTTCAGAACGCAACGTTAGGCACTAGCCTGGCTTCAAACCCTCCGCAGCGCCTTGGCGGGCGCTTCGTGGCCAGCTGCCGGGCCTGTGCTCCAGCTTTTCCAGTCTTTTCTAGTGGCTTCAGAAAGCAACGTTAGGCACTAGCCTGGCTTCAAACCCTCCGCAGCGCCTGGGTGGGCGCTTTGTGGCCAGCTGCCGGGCCTGTGCTCCAGCTTTTCCAGTCTTTTCTAGTAGCTTCAGAACGCAACGTTAGGCACTAGCCTGGCTTCAAACCCTCCGCAGCGCCTTGGCGGGCGCTTCGTGGCCAGCTGCCGGGCCTGTGCTCCAGCTTTTCTAGTGGCTTCAGAAAGCAACGTTAGGCACTAGCCTGGCTTCAAACCCTCCGCAGCGCCTTGGTGGGCGCTTTGTGGCCAGCTGCCGGGCCTGTGCTCCAGCTTTTCCAGTCTTTTCTAGTGGCTTCAGAAAGCAACGTTAGGCACTTGCCCGGCCTCAAACCCTCCGCAGCGCCTGGGCGGGCGCTTTGTGGCCAGCTGCCGGGCCTCTGCTCGAGCTTTTCCAATCTTTTCTAGTGGCGTCACAAAGCAACGTTAGGCACTAGCCTGGTTTCAAACCCTCCGCAGCGCCTGGGCGGGCGCTTTGTGGCCAGCTGCCGGGCCTGTGCTCCAGCTTTTCCAGTCTTTTCTAGTAGCTTCAGAAAGCAACGTTAGGCACTAGCCTGGCTTCAAACCCTCCGCAGCGCCTGGGCGGGCGCTTTGTGGCCAGCTGCCGGGCCTCTGCTCGAGCTTTTCTAATCTTTTCTAGTGGCTGCAGAAAGCAACGTTAGGCACTAGCCCGGCCTCAAACCCTCCGCAGCGCCGTGGCGGGCGCTTTGTGGCCAGCTGCTGGGCCTGTGCTCCAGCTTTTCCAGTCTTTTCTAGTGGCTTCAGAAAGCAACGTTAGGCACTAGCCTGGCTTCAAGCCCTGCGCAGCGCCTTGGCGGGCGCTTCGTGGCCAGCTGCCGGGCCTGTGCTCGAGCTTTTCCATCTTTTCGAGTGGCTTCAGAAAGTAACGTTAGGCACTAGCCTGCCTTCAAACCCTCCGCCGCGCCTTGGCGGGCGCTTTGTGGCCAGCTGCCGGGCCTGTGCTCCAGCTTTTCGATTCTTTTCTAGTGGCTTCAGAAAGCAACGTTAGGCACCAGCCCGGCCTCAAACCCTGCGCAGCGCCTTGGCGGGCGCTTTGTGGCCAGCTGCCGGGCCTGTGCTCCAGCTTTTCCAGTCTTTTCTAGTGGCTTCAGACAGCAACGTTAGGCACTAGCCCGGCTTCCCTCCGCAGCGCCTTGGCAGGCGCTTTGTGGCCAGCTGCCGGGCCTGTGCTCCAGCTTTTCCAGTCTTTTCTAGTGGCTTCAGAAAGCAACGTTAGGCACTAGCCCGGCCTCAAACCCTCCGCAGCGCCTTCGGGCGCTTCGTGGCCAGCTGCCGGGCCTGTGCTCCAGCTTTTCCCGTCTTTTCTAGTGGCTTCAGAAAGCAACGTTAGGCACTAGCCTGGCTTCAAACCCTCCGCCGCGCCTTGGCGGGCGCTTTGTGGCCAGCTGCCGGACCTGTGCTCCAGCTTTTCTAGTCTTTTCTAGTGGATTCAGAAAGCAACGTTAGGCACTTGCCCGGCTTCAAACCCTCCGCAGCGCCTTGGCGGGCGCTTCGTGGCCAGCTGCCGGGCCTGTGCTCCAGCTTTTCCAATCTTTTTTAGTGGCTTCAGAAAGCAACGTTAGGCACTAGCCCGCCTTCAAACCCTCCGCAGCGCCTTGGCGGGCGCTTCGTAGCCAGCTGCCGGGCCTGTGCTCCAGCTTTTCTAATCTTTTCTAGTGGCTTCAGAAAGCAACGTTAGGCCACTAGCCCGGCCTCAAACCCTCCGCAGCGCCTTGGCGGGCGCTTCGTGGCCAGCTGCCGGGCCTGTGCTCCAGCTTTTCCAGCTTTTCTAGTCTTTTCTAGTGGCTGCAGAAAGCAACGTTAGGCACTTGCCCGGCCTCAAACCCTCCGCAGCGCCTTGGCGGGCGCTTCGTGGCCAGCTGCCGGGCCTGTGCTCGACCTTTTCTAGTCTTTTCTAGTGGCTGCAGAAAGCAACGTTAGGCACTAGCCCGGCCTCAAACCCTCCGCAGCGCCTTGGCGGGCGCTTTGTGGCCAGCTGCCGGGCCTGTGCTCCAGCTTTTCCAAGTCTTTTCTAGTGGCTTCAGAAAGCAACGTTAGGCACTAGCCCGGCCTCAAACCCTCCGCAGCGCCTTGGCGGCCGCTTTGTGGCCAGCTGCTGGGCCTGTGCTCCAGCTTTTCCAGTCTTTTCTAGTGGCTTCAGAAAGCATCGTTAGGCACTAGCCCGGCCTCAAACCCTCCGCAGCGCCTTGGCGGGCGCTTCGTGGCCAGCTGCCGGGCCTGTGCTCCAGCTTTTCCAAGTCTTTTCTAGTGGCTTCAGAAAGCAACGTTAGGCACTAGCCCGGCCTCAAACCCTCCGCAGCGCCTTGGCGGGCGCTTCGTTCCACTGCCGGGCCTGTGTCCACTTTTCTAAATCTTTTCTAGTGGCTTCAGAAAAAGCAACGTTAGGCACTAGCCCTGGCGTCAAAGAACCCTCCGCAGCGCCTCGGCGGGCGCTTCCGTGGCCCTTCCGGGCCTGTGCTCCAGCTTTTCCAACTTTCTTCTTTCTCTTCTTTCTTTCTCTTCTCTTAGCTTTCTAGTGGCTTCAGAAAGCAACGTTAGGCACTAGCCCGGCCCCAAACCCTCCGCAGCGCCTTGGCGGGCGCTTTGTGGCCAGCTGCCGGGCCTGTGCTCCAGCTTTTCCAGTCTTTTCTAGTGGCTTGAGAAAGCAACGTTAGGCACTAGCCTGGCTTCAAACACTCCGCCGCGCCTTGGCGGGCGCTTTGTGGCCAGCTGCCGGGCCTGTGCTCCAGCTTTTCCAGTCTTTTCTAATGGCTTCAGAAAGCAACGTTAGGCACTCGCCCAGCCTCAAACCCTCCGCAGCGCCTTGGCGGGCGCTTTGTGGCCAGCTGCCGGGCCTGTGCTCCAGCTTTTCCAGTCTTTTCTAGTGGCTTCAGAAAGCAACGTTAGGCACTAGCCCGGCCTCAAACCCTCCGCAGCGCCTTGGCGGGCGCTTCGTGGCCAGCTGCTGGGCCTGTGCTCCAGCTTTTCCAGCTTTTCTAGTCTTTTCTAGTGGCTTCAGAAAGCAACGTTAGGCACTAGCCTGGCTTCAAGCCCTGCGCAGCGCCTTGGCGGGCGCTTCGTGGCCAGCTGCCGGGCCTGTGCTCCAGCTTTTCTAATCTTTTCTAGTGGCTTCAGAAAGCAACGTTAGGCACTAGCCTGGCTTCAAACCCTCCGCCGCGCCTTGGCGGGCGCTTTGTGGCCAGCTGCCGGGCCTGTGCTCCAGCTTTTCGAGTCTTTTCTAGTGGCTTCAGAAAGCAACGTTAGGCACCAGCCCGGCCTCAAACCCTGCGCAGCGCCTTGGCGGGCGCTTTGTGGCCAGCTGCCGGGCCTGTGCTCCAGCTTTTCCAGTCTTTTCTAGTGGCTTCAGACAGCAACGTTAGGCACTAGCCCGGCTTCCCTCCGCAGCGCCTTGGCGGGCGCTTTGTGGCCAGCTACTCCACGCTTTCCACTCCACAGTTGCATGTCCATTCTTTGCACTCCACGCTTTGTACTCCACCCTCCACACTCTACACTCCACACTTTCGACTCCACACTTTCCACTCCACGCTGTACACTCCAAAGTTTGCACTCCACGCTTTGCGCTCTACACTTGACACTCCACACCCTGCACTTCACACTCCCAACTTTCGACTCCACACTCTACACTTTACACTCCACACTTTACACTCTACACTCCACACTCCCCACTTTAGACTCCACACTCAACATTACACTCCGCACTTTACACTCCACACTTTACACTCTACACTTTAGACTCCACACTCTACACTTTGCACTCCACACTTGACACTGTACACCCCCTTTTACACTCCACATTTTCCGCTCTACACTTTACACTCCGCCCTTTACACTCCACACTTTCCACTCCACACTTTCCACTCTACACTCGGTACTTGTACTCCACACTCCACACTCTACACTCCACACTTCAGTCTCACAGTCTACACTTGACACTCTCCGCACTCACACTCTACACTCCACACTTCATACTCCACATTTTACACTCCACACTCTACACATGGATCGAAAAAACTAACCCCTGTTCGGGGTTCTCCTTGTTCAGGAGACTACGTACTGTTTGCTGAGCGCCCGACCGGCCCTTGTTCAGGGCTCTCCTTGTTCAGGAGATGCCAGGGGTCGGCGGCAGGGGGCGGCAGCCCTTAATAATATAATCAAATATTATATGATATAGTATAATGTGTATATATATATATATTGGATACACACAAATAAAGATAGATAAACAAAACACTAACATACTAAAACTGCAAAATTACTATTGTTGACAAACCATAACAACCTCCTGAACAAACTTCGAAGGTTCCGAGCCATTTTGTTCCATTCTGCAGCTCACTCCGGTACTCAGGTACTCGTGCAGCACCGAGCCATCCAGCAATGGGGTTAGCATACCAATAGTCTACCATCAACTAAACCAAAAGAGAATATATTATTCTTATTAGATATAATGAATATAAATCATAGGTTATCCATAATAATAAATATAAATTGTTGGTACAAAGTGAGCATATTATGGTATAAACCAATAGTCTACCAAGGTTAGTATAGATTGTAAGCTTGACATAGGTTCTTTCTCTCTCCATTGCCATCAGATTTCCTTGCCATCTGCGCCCTCCAAAAACATCCCCTTTGTTTTGGGCGCTGAACAAACAATCGGAGTAACTGCAGTCAGGCTTCGACGTGCTAAGCTTCGGAAAGTGTTGTGGATAGATTCCGCCTCAGGTCGCTTTGCATCCACCTCCCACAGCTCCCACACCCCAGTGGCTTGCATCCAAGGAGGAAAAATCCGTAGATTTATGGGGTGATTTTTTGGAACGACAGATCTCTTGACTTGATTTAATTTGATTTTGGGTTCCCAACACAAATGCCGATAAGTAGTCCCAGGGTGTTGTGGATGATGTTTGCCCCAATGATTTCCAAATTTCGAACTGTTTCTATCCTTTTGGGGGTTCGTGTCAAATAAGATGATTGCTCACAGTAAGAGGTAACAACACAGGTGACATCAAAAATGAGCAACATCTTTGATACGCAAGGTCCATTTTTAGTCTATCTTTTAAAGCACTGCCATCCACCTGATATCAAATATGATCAAATACCCCGATATCGATCCCCTATAATGACGAATTATAACCTGATCTATAATAGTAACCTGGGGATCTGAGGTGTGTATTTAATTTGAATATTAACAAAAACCTCCAAATACTCGCAAAACAATACTTTATTTCGAGTGATCCCCACGGTGACACACTCTCCTGACATAGTTTCTGACATACCGTCCGGAATTATGTATATATATATATATGTATTTTTATATATATTATATATATATATTATATATAGATATATATTATATATATTATATATAGATATATATTATATATAATTATTATATATAGATATATATTATATTATATATATAGTTATAATTATATTATTATTATTATTATATTATTATTAAATCTATATATATATGTAGTGACAGGCGTGGCCCACTGCATCCGGAGCTGGGACGAAGACAGGAGTGATTGAAGACAGAGTTGAAGATGTTAAAGTTGAAGGAAATAGGTAGTTGCACCTTTATTAAAATCTACAGGAAGGAAGAGAAATATGCAAAAGTACTGACTGTGATGGTTTTTCATGGTTTTTCATAGAGTAAAACACCATTTTGAAGGCTACTTGGAGGGTCACCCGGCGCCGGCGCCATCCCACAGCCCTATTGGATCAGCCACTGTCTGCTGCGCCGCGAGGCCGTCTTAGCCATCGCGCCTGGCGCGGGAACGTGCAGCAGAAACCATGAAAAATAACGAAACATTCTTCATTGCGAATCACGAAATCACGAAATCCTGAAATGATAGGATGCGAACAATTAGTGACAATTATATACAATTATGATTCCTGATCATGTGTTATTCCGGTCGTGTTTCAAAAATATTATTGAATACCCGATGGGTTGCAAAACATGCCGTGGTAATCGCTCTTCATAATTCCACCATGCATGGGGCGTGACCCCCCCCGGTCCTCTTTTCCAAGCAACAAGGTTGAAAGCTTCTTGAAGACTGCATTCAAGATCTCGTTGGTCAGAAGACAAACCTCATAGCTGAAGTTAAGTCTATTTAGTCTACTTGCCTCCCTGCCCTGAAGGAGTTGAGAAAAAAAACAGATAGAACATCAAATTTCACCAGGTTTTTCAAAACATCAAAATGTTCACTTTCGATATATCATGATATATCTATTTGGAAAATCCACGGTTTTTCCCCAAGTTGTCCACAAGTTTTATCATCCAAATATGGTGATTTCTATGGTGAGGTCATGCCATGGCTGCCATCCCATGGTACCTCCAGTAATGCTGCCTCGCGGGACCAACAGAGCACCGCATAGGAGCCCACGGCGATGTACCTGGCAAAGATGACAGCGGTCATCCCCAAAAAAACAATTCGTATCTGGTTGGTGGTTTTAACCATATTGAAAAATATGAAAGTCAATGGATGTCAATGGGAAGGATGACATCTCATATATTATGGAAAAATAAAAATCTTTGAAACCACCAACCAGGTATTATATCACACAGACAAATTATCGTTGTATGAAATTAATTGACATTATATGTAGCATTTATGTAGAATATGATGTAATGTAAGTTGCTACTATTTGACTGAGACATTTGTTTGTATCTTTTCTATTGGTGCGTTACTATGTTTGGTCCAAGATCTGATCCCTGTGGTGACCCCAGCAAGCTGTGGACCATCTGGGGCACGTCGTGTATGGCAAGGTGCGCATCACATTGGATGGCAGAAGCCGCAAGTCAGACAGCTCCTGAAGCCATGGGGTCACTAGGGCAACAATGGGGGAAAACTGTTACAACGACGTGGAACACTACCATGGTGAAACCATGGATCTACGAATGGTGGGTTTTTCAATGCTCTCAAATGTTCTCCACATCTAAATTAGCTTACAGGAGGGTATAATATCTTGATTCCCTAAGTTTGATGATGTCTAAAAGGGTGTGCAATTGGAACATCAATTTTCGCGGTGCCCAGCTTCTAAAGTTCTCCTGTTGAGCTGCGCTATGGAAAGCGGCCATTGCTTTGAGAAGTGCAGCACAACGCGGCACCTACCGAAAGAGATCTCAAAATGGGATGTTGCCAAATCATGTCTGATACTACGTGGTGGCTTCTGAAATTTGGAGCCAACATAGGCCAACACATAAAAATCGAGCCATTTACTGTATTGCTGCACAATTGCCAACTGGAATTTTCTTTTGGCCTACCATTAGACAACCCACTATCTGATCCCAGGGTCCTAGGCTGAAAAGAGTGCGCGCAGAGTACTATTCATGGGTCACGAGACGCAGTTTCTGAATCCTTAGTAGTTTCTGAGATGGTATTTGTTCCTGTTCATGAGCCCTTCATGACCCACAACCTCTTTGGTCCTGCAGATCTGGCTACGATCGGTCAATATATATATATATATGTGTGTATATATATATACAGCGTATAATTCATTTTATATACGTGTATACTACATCCCGATTTTTTAAAAAGTGTTTGCTGCTCACGTGCTTCACAATGCTCCACATGGCTTCGCCCTTTTTGAGACAACTGGCAACGACATCACGGCAGCGACATCTGCGGCATTCTGCACACGGCTCAGCCACACTGCAGATCAGAAGTTTTCGAAACATCTAAAACCCATCAGGTGGACAATCATGGACAATCTCATTGGTTGGCTGCAAGATATGAAAATATATGAAAAATGGAACTCGCAAGGCTTCAAGTTGGGAATCACTGCACTGGGGTTCTTGCTCGCAGAGCCTAAGCTCTCGCGCACAATGGGCTCCGCCTCCAATCTCAAAGGCCTCCAGTTTGCCGCGAGAAGAGGCAGCACAAGAACTGGGCAAAATGACTGGTTGGTGGTTTCAACCATTGGTTGGTAATATACTATTCATATATGGTTAATATTACTGGTTATTTTATGGTTAATGATGGTTAAGAATAATCTGGTTGGTGGTTGACCTACCCCTCTGAAAAATATGAAAGTCGGTTGGGATCACTATTCCCAATATATGGAAAACTAAAAAATGTTCCAAACCACCAACCATGTGAGTTATTGCTGCTGGACGATTGAAACATATTGAAACTATATCTGAGCTGGCCCCTGCTGAAATTGACCATTGGAATCTGGACTTTGCGGATGCCCCAAAATATGTTTGGATGCAGCCGGGTCTTCTCATTAAGTCATCAGCAATGCTCACGATCCACCCCGCCTCTTTGTTGACCCATCTGGGAATGGTTCAAAATCATACCGCCAATGGATGGTTGAACATAACATAACATAACATAACATATAGAAACTGAACGTGTCTGTTGTCAATGGCCATTTCAGGAACCTAAATTGGAGGTACCTACCATATATATAACCACCATATATAAGGCCTATATTTCAGGCCTAAATTTCAGGGAATATCCCCACAAAATATGGCCTTACATGGTACAGTACCTCCATTTTAGGAACCTGAAATTCCCATTGATGTTGGTCGATTGGCGCCCCATGAGCTCGGGTCTCCGGTATCAATCTGAGCTCCACACAGAGGTCCATGCTCAAATTGGCTCGGCTGGAAGGGAGGCGTCACCACCTGTGGTACCTGGTGGTTGTACTGACGCTTGGAATAGGATACGCCAACAACATGTTCATCGAGCATTCAAAAACATGTTCAAGCCCCATCTACAACCATAAGATCATAAGGTGTGTCTGAAAATGGTGTAAATCCCACACATAACTATAACCTTCTTGTAGGGAAAACAACATCACAAAATCATGAAAACAGATTGCACGACCACCAACACTGGTCATGATTCCCCTTGGAGCTCGGGCTGGCGCCGCCCGGGCTCCCACTGGCACTGGACCAGGCCGCGCCACTGGCCAGGCAGCTGCAGCCTGTGATTTTGTGAGGGGATCATACGATGCAAAGTTACCCCAACCAAATCAACATTTGATCTCCTATATCTATCCATCCATCCATCCATCCATCTATCCATCCATCTATCTATCTACCTATCTAATCTAATCTAACCTTATCTTATCTATATAAT